TTATAATCATATAAAGACAAAGTTTCATCATATAAATAATGAAGTAGTATCAGCATATAAAGTATCGTTATATACATAATGTAAATACATATCATAATGTAGTATCAGTATATACAGTCAAAGTATCATCATATAAATAATGAAGTAGTATCAGCATATAAAGTATCGTTATATACATAATGTAAATACATATCATAATGTAGTATCAGTATATACAGTCAAAGTATCATCATATAAATAATGAAGTAGTATCAGCATATAAAGTATCGTTATATACATAATGTAAATACATATCATAATGTAGTATCAGTATATAAAGACAAAGTATCATCATATAAATAATGAAGTAGTATCAGCATATAAGGACAAAGTATCATGTTATAAATTAGTATCACAAAATAAAGTCAAAGTATTATCAATTGAATAATAAAGTAGTTTTGGCATAAAAAGTAAAAAAAAAAAAGAATCATCATATAAATAATAAAGTAGTATCAGCATATAAAGACAAAGTGTCATCATGTGAATTATAAATTGTAACACGATGCATGTATAAAGACAAAGTATCAGTAATTACATGTATAAAGACAAAGTATCAGTAATTACATATATAAAGGCAAAGTATCAGTAATTACATGTATAAAGACAAAGTATCAGTATATATATACATATATAAAGACAAAGTATCAGTATATATATACATATATAAAGACAAAGTATCAGTATATATATACATATATAAAGACAAAGTATCAGTATATATATACATATATAAGGACAAAGTATCAGTATATATATACATATATAAAGACAAAGTATCAGTATATATATACATATATAAGGACAAAGTATCAGTATATATATACATATATAAAGACAAAGTATCAGTATATATATACATGTATAAAGAAAAAGTATCAGTATATATATACATATATAAAGACAAAGTATCAGTATATATATACAAATATAAAGACAAAGTATCAGTATATATATACATATATAAAGACAAAGTATCAGTATATATATACATATATAAAGACAAAGTATCAGTATATACATGTATAAAGACAAAGTATCAGTATATATATACATATATAAAGACAAAGTATCAGTATATATATACATATATAAAGACAAAGTATCAGTATATATATACATATATAAAGACAAAGTATCAGTATATATATACATATATAAAGACAAAGTATCAGTATATATATACATGTATAAAGACAAAGTATCAGTATATATATACATGTATAAAGACAAAGTATCAGTATATACATGTATAAAGAGTATTATTAGTTACATAGTTTTTTAGTGACAGGGTACGGGATGATACCTGGTTAGTAAATTTCATACCTGGCGAGGCGAAGCCGAGCCAGGTATGGAATTTACTAACCAGGTATCATCCCGTACCCTGTCACTAAAAAACTATGTAACGAATTTACCCCACCGTGTAAATATTTATGCATTGTCTGTGGTTTGTAAAATTGTTTTTCTCACTATGTATATGTTTCATCACTCATACAATGCCTATTATGACGTCACGTTGTGTGACGTAATGTTGCTTTGCGAGTGTTTCGTGCTGTAAATAACATACTGACAGTTTAGAAGACTTTCAGTAAAGGGAGAAAAAGGTTCCATCTTCGTTACTTACATTAGTTAACTGTAACATTGTCAACAGACACTCGGCAAATCTCGTGAACTCGAGTTGTTCGAACGTTACAAAAGAACGATAACTCCGTATCTATCATGTATTGATTTTCAAGCGACTAGGTATAAGTAATACACCCCCTTCACGTGACAGACTTCAACCAATCGTAAGCCAGGATTTCATCGAAAAATCAACAGAGGTGGGGTAACAGTACATACATGTATAAAAAGATAGTATCAGTATATACGTGTATAAAGACAAAGTAACATCATATGAATGTTATCCACATAAAACAGACAGAGATGACTTTTAGATTTTATGTAAGTACCTAAAGGTAGTTTATTATTCTGATAGAAGGACAGAGGTGACTTATTTTACTTACTGACATAATAATATGTTGACGGTGCGACCGTTGGGGCGAGCGCATTGTTCACTTCATTTTAAGATCCGCCTCTTCAAACCACACGAGACATTTGGAACGTCTAGACTGTGACGTCACATGACGTCGTATGTTAGCTGTATTTCCATAAACAAAGTTTAAAAAGTGCAAATATTTTAACAAAGAATGTTTAATCTACTATCTGCATGCAATAGCCATTAAATTAAGGTGAGTTTATTTTTTGTGAAATTTTAGTTGTGTTACCGCGTGAACGAAGTTAGTAGCGAGAACAAGAAGCGATGCATTGTGGGTCAGAATTACTGCGGAAAAAAATTCTATTGAATGAATGTGCAGTAGTCCGAATATTCTCTTCGCCCAGGCGTTGTCGTTAGAGCTCGCAGTGACGAGCGGCGCTTCGCGCCGCTCGCTGCGCTCGCTATTATTCAACATGAAGTCAGAGTGGGTTTTTTTTTTTTTTTTTTTTTTTACTAATTAGCCTTTTATTTAATGTTTAATGGAGACTACTCTGATAGTTATTCATTTTATGAGATCTCTTAATCAGAGATTGCGTATTACATCGCACGGTCAAGTTAATGCAAAACTACTAGAAAATGAAATCATACAGAACAAATTAATCGAAATAAACTTTTTATTTTATCATTAGAATTTGTTAATACAATTGTTGTGATGTTTTCTTGTCACAAATGACTGTATCCATTTTCCTGACATATTTGTCCTACCAAGCGTTGGATTTGGGGGGGGGGGTGCTCTCTACAAGTATTGTGAGTTTCTGTTGTCATTTGCGACCCACAGCCAATGACAAGATCTGTGAACCGTGACCTAATTATAAAACATACATGATGTTAAAACGTCTATTATACTGGCAGGTAAGATGTGCACCTAGAAACATCTGAAGACGAATGTTCAGACACCTCGAGCCTAGGTTGATACATCTGTTCTGGCACTTTAAAATAATGAAAATTCAAGTTAACATTGTGTTTATTCTGGTTAAACATATTTCTTCTATGTAAGAAGATTTTTAGCTAAATATAAATGCAAAGCCTTTTTTTAATTTTGGATGTATATTTAGCTTGAAAATTTTAAAAAGGAATGTATCATATAATAAAAGAATCCATATTCTTTCTCTCATTGTGTAATTTGTAAAATATGTTTGTCGGTGAAATATAATTTAAGTATTCTGAACAATTAAATAACATAAATTTTGTGTGCTCTGATGCCTTGCAAATGTGTAATTAATTGCATTATCATCATATTGAATTTTGTTGTGAAACAAGATAACGATCACCGACTTCTTTCAAAAGACACGAAAATATTACCTCTGTCACATCATTAAATTGATTGGTAGTACAAATAGTAATGCCTTTGGTACGTTTATCTCTCAAGATGAAAATTATAAAATGCAATCGAGATACGATTCATGATATTTAAAAACAAAATGAAGGTAATATAAACTTAATTTATGAAATGAATTTATAGAGAGGGGGCAGGAACATTGAGAGTTTTATTTTCTAGATTGGGCCAGTATGCAGGGCCTTCGCCAGGGTTCTGGAGAGAGGTGCTGATGGGACTGAGAGGGGGTTTTCCCTCCTCTGAGTCAGAAAAAAAAAATCATAAATGGGCACGAATTTGGTAGGTTCTGGTGAATTCACAAGTCATAGTCTTTCGAATATTAAATGAATAATATCAAGCAGCATTACTTTGAGCAGACGAATTTTTCAAAGACATATTTTTAAACATGTGACAACCCACAACCCCCCCCCCCCCGATTCTGACTGTATTGATAGGAGGCACTCAGCATAAATTCTTGACCGAAAGAAAAGCCCAGCAAACCAGGATTGTCTTAATTCTGTTCCTAGAGGAAAGGGTGGGTGGGGGATCTTCTAATTGATATGGGCTACTTTTAACAGTGTTACAATTCTAAAGTTTCTTTTATTCTTCAAACTAAATAAAAATTAGTGATTTTGAAACGGAGGCTACAAAGCTTTTTACTGAGGGAGAAAGCTTGACCATGTGTAAAATATGAAAATGCATCTCAAAATTGATAGATTTTAGTAGAACATTTAATGATACAAAATAAAGCAGTTAAAATCCTTTACTTTTTAATTCCACTTATCTGGATTCTACTGATCTGGATTCTACTTATCTGGATTCTACTGATCTGGATTCTACTTATCTGGATTCTACTGATCTGGATTCTACTTTGATTGCAAATGTTTTCCTTTCTTTGACTTCGTCTGGTAAACTTTAAACAAAATCCCACAAACCCAAATTCCATTTCTTTTGTATTCGTATTTATACATAAGGTACGGCGATGCCTGGAATATAAAAGAAACTAGGATTGACTCATTATCCAAACTGTTCCAAACAGTGTAATATCGTTGTTCAAACTTTAGAACACGGGTCGTATGTAGTTTGACACGCCATTAGCATATTCAGACAATGCAATAACATTACAAAGAGATGCTTCTTTATGTAAATTAAACAAACTACAGATGGTAAGCATACATTCTGAAATGTTCAAAATTGACTTCCTGATGTGAATATGGTTTGTATCGATTGATTAAATTTGAAAATGGTACATATGTACCACGATCAGTTGCATAACTTGTAAATATTACGAAGTATATATATATAAGACTCTCTTTATATCCGTCAGCATTTCGCGTCTTTTCAGAAGCTAGAAACGCGAAAGAGGTACACTTCTTCTAAACAACTTTGTTTTTTTAAAAAATCGCCAAAAACTCGTGATTCTTTTTTTTTTCCTTTTTTGGTAAAATTCAAATAATTGATTCATTGAATTTTAACTATAAAATGCATATATATATATACATATAAAATAGATATAAAGCCATAAATATATCTTTTTTGTTAAGTTATGCTTAAATATTGCATGCTATGAAGATGGTAAACTATAGTTATTGTTTTGATATTTGTTGCAGAACCATGCTAAAGGAAGTCTGTCTCCTACTGTTGGTCACATACGTGGCAGCTACTTACAATACTGGTAAAATACTACCTTTTCTCCAGATCCTTGAAAATCTTACATGTTGAATATTGATGTTAAAGAATGACACTTATATTTACAGGCTACCCATCCATACCAACCTACCCTAGCACATCTTATCCACCTTACCCCTCAGGTGGATACAGGTATGTCGTGTACATCCAATACCTCTACTACCTATACGTTACATATGGACCTAACTCTGTCCAATATCTCCAATATTACCAATATTTGGTCAGACTGCACATCATTCCTCAGGGATTTAACTTTGGAAGGGGAGGATATCCAGGATTTGGTGGAAGTAGAGGCTTTCCAATAGGAGGTGGAAGTGGAGTTATACCAATCGGCGAAGGCACAACAGGAGCAGGGGGATTTCCGTTAAGCGGTGGATTTGGCAGTCTACCCACAGCAAGTAGCGGTCTAGCAGGTGGATTCCCGATTGGCGGTGGAAGTCTAGGAGGTGGATTTCCGATTGGCGGTGGAAATCTAGGAGGTGGATTCCCAATTGGCGGAGGAAGTCTAGGAGGTGGATTCCCGATTGGCGCTGGAAATCTAGGAGGTGGATTCCCAATTGGCGGTGGAAATTTAGGAGGTGGATTCCCAATTGGCGGTGGAAATCTAGGAGGTGGATTCCCGATTGGCGGTGGAAGTCTAGGAGGTAGATTTCCTATTGGTGGTGGAAATCTAGGAGGTGGATTCCCGATTGGCGGTGGAAATCTAGGAGGTGGATTCCCGATTGGCGGAGGAAGTCTAGGAGGTGGATTCCCAATTGGCGGCGGAAGTCTAGGAGGTGGATTCCCAATTGGCGATGGAAATCTAGGAGGTGGATTCCCGATTGGCGGAGGAAGTCTAGGAGGTGGATTTCCTATTGGCGGTGGAAATCTAGGAGGTGGATTCCCGATTGGCGGAGGAAGTCTAGGAGGTGGATTTCCTATTGGCGGTGGAAATCTAGGAGGTGGATTCCCGATTGGCGGAGGAAGTCTAGGAGGTGGATTTCCTATTGGCGGTGGAAATCTAGGAGGTGGATTCCCGATTGGCGGTGGAAATCTAGGAGGTGGATTTCCTATTGGTGGTGGAAATCTAGGAGGTGGATTCCCAATTGGCGGTGGAAATCTAGGAGGTGGATTCCCTATTGGTGGTGGAAATCTAGGAGGTGGATTCCCTATTGGTGGTGGAAATCTAGGAGGTGGATTCCCGATTGGCGGTGGAAATCTAGGAGGTGGATTCCCATCTGATGGCAGCTCCTTAAGTTTTGCTAGCAGTGGTTCCAGCTTCTCTTCTAGTAGTTCTGGATTTCCAGCTGGAGGATTATCAGGCCTTGGTGGTGGATTCGCAGGATCTGGACTGAATGGATTTTCTTCTAGCGGATTTTCTGAAAGTTCCTTTTTAGGAGGCAATCAATTCCCAAATGGTGGATTTTCGGGTCTTTCAAAACCAAAATATGGTAACTAACTTTGCTTAATAGAAAGAATGACACAACTTTCGAAATATTTTATTCGTATTTCTAACCATATCTTTTAAATCCTATTTATTTCTTCATTTTCAAGGTAAATATTAGAGAGTTAAGGCGTGACTACTGAATAATAAACTCGGATTTGAATACTGGAATGGAAACGGACTTTGCTTTAATTTGTAAATATATGTATGGGTATGGAATAAACAGATGACACCAATTTTTTTCTGACTGGTAATTAAAATTTCTATGACAATAGAATGGGTTTGTTTTATAATCAAAATTACATTATACTAACACACTCTGTCAAGTTTGATCAAATTATACAGTTTATCCGCTATATGATGGAAGACTTTCCAAGATGTATTTTCAACATATCTGATTAATGAGCCCCAAATGTTTGAACTCCCAGTGTATGAGTTCTTTTTGGATTTTGTAGAGTTGAGAAGGAAAACAATATCAATCAGAATAAATAAACAAATTTATTAACACAAAATGAAAAAAAAAATAGAAAACAAATAAATTCTATGTCGCTCACTCACTCTCACATACAGGCTCACACACCGAAAATGAAATAAATATAAACTGTTAACTCAGTTATTACAAATTCTGAAACTTTACATAGTTTCAATATTAACTGCTACAGTTCTGATTCGGTTCGCATCAGATATAATATCAAATGAATAATTCACAAATCTTTAACAGTTAAAAAATAATATTCCGAAAAAGTTCAAATAAATTCAATTTATATTATATATTTCAATGAGAAAGTTTATTTTCTTTAATAGACTGAAAGTTACTTAAAGTTACTATATCACAATTGCTGTAACACGTGCTCCGGAAGTCACACCACTCATGCATCCGCCATTAACACCAATCAAGGAATGTTTTAAGTCCTGCGCATTTCTCTCCTTAACATGTGGTAGTTGATTTAACCGCAGCTGCGGGTCTATAGCCTCCCACTCCGGTTATCCTAACAACCATTTACAGCGTAGACATTAGATATGACATCTGTGGCCCTCCATACAACACTCGTCGACTGACCCTCAGCATCTAACGGCTATCAAATGGCCCTCAGCACAACCACTTATGTATATAATAGTCTCTCAGCACTTTACGCACTGAAATAAATTTACGTTTACAAAAACCTTACCTAAATTACATCTGAAAACCGGATATTTATAACAACAAACCACTATATACATTATTCGAACACTCTTACCGACTAGAACTGCAAACACACGCTGCAAAAGTCCGCCTAACAAGTTATATGGCTACCCGTTAAATTCGGTGCTATATCTCACCGAAATATATTCGCCACTTCTATTATCATGCAGGAGATAAAGCAAACGTGGCACACCTCCGGTTGGTCACGCTGCTGGACACCAAACTAGATCTGACCACACTGACAAAACCGGTCCCTTTATATACCAGTCGCAAAACAACTGCAACAGTGTGGAAACCCTTAAAACAACATTTAAACAATATTTACAATAGATTAAAAAAATCAACTTCGTCACACCCAGAAAGTCATCGATTCTAAAAAAAAAAATATTAAATTCATTTTTTTTTCAACCAGAAACCAGGTCACTGAAAGATGAGGTACATATATACGTACACTTGTATAAGTAAATATTCAAATATAAAAATGAATCTAATTTGTGAAAATTCATGAAGAACATGAACTACAACGCTTCGCGCCTGTATATTTACCGTGAAGCGCTAACGCGCTTTATGAAATATGCCGGTGTGAAGCGTCGTAGTTGATGTCCTCATGAGTTTTCAAAAATTAAATTCATTTTTTAAATGAACACAGTTTCAAATGTAGGTTAAGGTCAAAATAGACAAGCACACGAAGAAAAAAAAGTAAACATAAACATGTATGCCTTAAAGCATCAGTAAAACCTGTACCAGAGGTTTTATATTTTATAATTGTTGTTGAGGACTTATTGCTCATTATATTCATACAAACACCACCCCAACCCCACCTTTCCCACCCACACAACTAGACGGAAATATTCAGAGATGTTAAAATGTATTCTAGCATTCAGAGAATGGAAATATGTATAAAGTGATGCAGTCCAATCTGTTGATGATAATTTATTTGTCGAAATGCGCATCTGGTGCATCAAAATTGGTACCGTACAATGTATATGATTTACATTATGACTCCTGGGTCGAGACCTCTGCTGGTGGACTGTAAGTTCCCGAGGGTCTCTACAGCCCAGTAACCTAGTACTTCGGTACTAGCTTGAAAATACAGATATATATTTAACAGCTGTTGTAATATTTTGAAATTTATTTCAAAATTAAGGACTATCTCCCTCATACATAGCTCTGATCCTTCGACGTATTTGGCTCCAGTCTTTAGCACTTTTTTCAGCTCTTCCAATTCTTTTTATTTAAATTTTGGTATCCCAACCTTTCGGCTTGAGCATCACTGAAGAGACATAATTTGTCAAAATGCGCATCTGGTGCATAAAATTGGTACCGTATATGATTTACATTGACAAAATTGATATGATTTTATTTCAAAAATGCATTCCAACATTTGGTCTAAGTTTTTGTGACCAAGATGGAGTAGTAATGTGGACTATAGATATTAGGTAATTATATTATAAAACATGGAAACTGAATTTCATCCAGATGTTCTTCAGTTCAGATGATGAATTTTAAAAAAGCTCTTCTGTTTCATGTAAAGACTGCTATGCTATTTGTAAGAAAGGTTCTGCTACGGACTCATTTTTATTTCGCCAATTTTGTTAAAAGTCATGATTTTGAAAAAAAAGAATACCGAGAAATCACCTATATTTCATAGGGCTTTTCATTTTCATTCATTTCAAGATATTAAGAATCCCTTTCTTTTTGATGCGAAATATTATGTTTAGTGTTGACTACTTATCATATGACCTATTACATTTTTTTTTCATTTTCATATGAACCAAAACAGCTTGTAACTGATATTAGATTTGAACGAACGTCTCATACATGCTTTCGATCATATGTGGAGGACCCTCGTTATGTCATTTTATCTTAAGTATACCCAGCTACTGACGATAAGTTGACTTTACAGAGATTTCAACAACCTCGTTTAAAGTCAGCATTTTGTAAATTCTATTGTCGTTATAATGACTTTGTTAACAAATATAGCCTTTTATTGGCTGACGTGTTTCATACTAATTATTAACCTTTGTTTTTATACTAAATTTGTCTAAGGAATGTTCCGTCTACCTGATCAAAACATAGGGCTGACGGCTGGTAAAACCGGTCAACTGGGGATCACTTCTCCTAGGCACCTGATCCCACCTCTGGAATTTCCGTGTTTTATGCCCTGCACACAGATTTGTATTATTTGTAGATTTTTTGAGATCGATAACTGTTCGTTATCGTCACCTTTTTAATTAAAAGCTATAAATAATATCAGTGTTCTTCATTTCCTTTCATGACAGCAATCTTTATTTGCAGAAACTACAAACTACTTCTATTTTTATTTCCAAATGATGGAATTTTACATTATTCTATGCAATTGTGTATGTACCACAAAATCCGAGCACGCGTATATTAAAAAATTCCCAGACTATTAAATCAAAATCATGATTTCATCCATATTCTTCACTGAGTTTATATCAGTTTAAAAAGATTAAAAAAAATCACATCAAGAAAATTAGAATTCTGTGTTTTAATAATTCACAAAGGAAAGAAATTACATCTACAGTAAAACGGAAAATTATTATAAAAAGCGTATGTACGAGACTTGATCCAAAGTAATGTGACAACTGCTATAAAATCTTGAAGATTGGAATGTTATCAGCAAAATTTTATATACTTATATCCCTATCTATTTTGATGTTAGGCGTAAAAATTCCATTCAGTTTTAAAGATATGAAGATAACACAACGTTAGGTATGTCTATTTCCACACGATAAGAATATTATGACGTTACTTTTCGGCACTCATTTTCATACACAAATAATTTAAGTCAAATGAACAGGAAGTGGATATCTGAGGTGTACCTTGCACACGCCATTCACCACCACCAAAAACAAGTCCCTTCCCCAATAATAATAATAAGCAAACAAATTCAGATACGTTTCAAATCATTTTGCTAAATACCTTTTTTAAAAGAAACACCAGAGCAAATCATACTACCATTGATACTCATCTTTTTTATATTCACTCTGAGTGAATAATATATTTTGTTGTGTGCAAAAATTTATTCTAGTTTTAGGTAAATTCTGACTCAAAATATGTCTTTCAATTTATCTCCTATACATAATATGTATAAAATCAAAGTTTTATTAAGCATGTTATTCATTTGTTTATGATCGTTGTACAGATGTATATATCACATTACACACTCTGGAAAATTTTAAAATTATGATTATGTCTTTGAAGTTATATGCATCACAAGTATATCCTTAGATTGTCATTGTATATCTAATACAATAAAATATGTTAAAACAAAAATCCATATCATTAAGGAAAAAGAAAAGAAGATCCTCATCTGAAATACAGATACATTATTTTTTCAATGGAAGAAAAAATTGCAAATGGTTGAACTCACCGCTTACATTACTGAAGTTTTTTTCTTGGGATGCTGACTCCTTCGTGGCACCTAATCCCAGCCTTGTTTTCAGAGGTCCGTCTTGGCTCTGCTCATTACCTGTACTGTTTAAATGAACGTTTGATCACTGTTCGTTATCTTCACATTTCATACTTCCATTAAGAACTTTTTTCTCTGTACCCTTGATTAAATTTCACCTAGTAAAATCTGAAATTGTATGGCAATAAAAATCATGGTTTAAGAACTTCAGGTGACAGTCCATTAAATTATTCATATTTACTGTTTTCAACACAAAGCATTTTCCCCATATATGTCTGTAAAAAACCACAAGTACCAAAGACTTGTGGAACAAACACTTTTACCGTAAGAAGTATGTATTTCCTTACATCCAACAAACATAATGTTGAAATGATCGCAAAATTTAAATCTTGTAAATTTATCCAAAATGTTTCTTGTCCATTGCGTAATAAAGACAAATTATTTTTTCTTTGTGTTATTTTAATGAAACAAACCTTCGGACATGCTTTTCTTTGATTCAAAGAAATACTTCCGCGTATAGAATTGTACAATCATACTCGTTACTTCGTGGCCACTCCCTCTTGAACAGAGACCAAAAGAATATTAGAAAGCTTATTTCACAATTAATCACAGTCAAATTTGGTCAAAATTGCTGAAAAATAAAAATTAAAAAAATACATTAAGGTTTTCTTAATTTACGTTACAATAAACTTTGCTTTTCTATTATGTTATGACCCTCTTGAGCCTTCAAGAAGTTTGTGGTAAATAGTGGTTTCATTTAGTAAATACTTTTTTAAAAAATGCTTTTTTTAATTATAGCATATCAATGTAGTAGCTTTTTTGATAAATAAATAAATTAAAAAAATATGATCAGATCAACATAAACACATTACATTATAATGTGTTAACTCGTGTTATGGTGGTGTAATGATTAAGAAAATAATTTGAAAATACTGTAAAAAAAAATATTATCACTATATAAGAGCAGAACTAGAGACCTACATTTAAAGAAAAATGAAAATGACATGTGGATTCTTATACATATACTCTAGCAGTCAATGATTATATTTCTTTTGTTCTTTACGATGCTAAAGATCGAACAATAGTCACATAAAAAATGAATGACCATGAAATGATTTTTACTTTTCTTTTATCTCGAATGCATATTATATCTTAGTTTTATTTATATCGTCAATTCAAATGCAAGACACTGCAAACAATTCCATCTGTTCTGGAACTATGTATGAATACTTCAAGTGATCTTCAAGAAAAAAAAATCATATATTTAGTGAAAGTAAAAATCGAAGGGTTGAGCAAAAATTACTACATATCTGTACAGCGTAAGACAGAAAATCAACATTTGAGTGATCATACCCATTTACTGAAACACAGCATGATAATTTTTGACAATCATCAGCGTTTAGAGTAAGAGAATGAAACTTTAAAAAATCTTCTTATATCCACACTTCTGAAAATTTTAAATTAATGATTAAAAAAAAAGAAAATATGCTTGCGTTAATGTTCTTTTTGAAGATTTGGCAAAACCACAAGCTCCAAAATGCCCAAACTATTGTTCTAGCACTCTTCAACATTCGTGTTCTCTAATAATAGTGGTTATATCTCTGTGAGACCAATGTGATACGATTAGGAAATTCAACATTTTTGAAAACTGATAGGGATAGACATTTTATTGCTATTTCTTCATAAATACACACTGGATTTTTGTTTCTAAATGTCAATAAACTAAAACAATCGTCTGGACATGCATTTCTTTGATATTTCACTTTTCACTTCCGCCATCGGAATTGCACACATCATCAGAATTGGTGAATATTAATTTGTAATGACTTTTTTAAAAGTTTAATCTGTGGGATATATAAAGAGATCCCAATCACATTTCATTACAGTCTCGGTAAAACTCCCGAGGAAGAAACACCGAACAGGTACCTCCACCTTTGTATCAAACGGTTTAGTTAGAAGGACATCAATGATAAACTTTTTGCATGAAAATATTCTTAGCAAAATCCTTAATGATTTTTTTAAAATTATACCAATTTATAATTCATTATTGTACTAAATCGAAAACGTGTTTTCCCTTTTAGACCAAGATGCTGAAAGAAGTTTGTTTTCTGTTGATGGTCACATATGTGGCCGCCACTTATAACACTGGTAAAATTATTACTTCTATTCAGAATTTTGATATGGTGGAATGTAGAAATAAAAATATTTCGAGTAAAATAAGATATCCTTTACAGGCTATCCCTCTATCCCATCATACCCTAACTATCCCAACTTTCCCTCCAGTGGTGGATACAGGTATGTCGTGTACATCCAATATCTCTACTACCTGTACGTTATTTACGGACCAAACTCCGTCCAGTATATCCAGTACTACCAATACTTGGTCCGACTACACATCATCCCTCAGGGATTCAGTTTTGGAAGTGGTGGTTTTCCGGGCGGTATCGGTGGTTTCCCGGGCGGTATTGGTGGTTTCCCTGGCGGTATTGGTGGTGGAAGTCAAATCATAGGGGGTGGTAGTGGTATAACCCCTATTGGAGGAGGATACATTCCAGGTGGCGGATTTCCATATGGAAGTGGAAATCTAGGAGGTGGTTTTGGAGGAAGTGGTATCGGTGGACTGCCCCTTGGCGGCATTGGAGGATTCCCATCTGGTGGTGGTGGATTCCCTCTTAGTAGCGGAGGAAGCTCTCTTAGTATCTCTAGTGGCAGTTCCTTCCAAAGTGGCGGTCTTGGAGGTGGCTTCGGAAGTGGTCTTGGAGACAGCTTATCAGGCAGTATTGGAGGTTTTGGTGGTGGACTTGATAGTGGTTTAATCAGTGGGCCAGGAAGTATTGGCGGTGGAATAGGAGGAGGACTAGGCAGTGGACTAGGAGGATTTAGTGATGGTCTTGGAGGTGGTTTAGGAAGAGGGCTGGGAGGTATGGGAGGTATTGGAGGTGGACTTAGTTCCCTCGGAAGCGGTTTCAGCGGAGGATTAGGTGGAAGTTTAGGAGGAGGTATCGGTGGTGGCCTTGGCGGTAGACTCGGAGGAAGGAAAAAGCTTGGTAATTTGTCATGAATTTCAGTAGCTTTTAGAAACAAGATACATTTTCTTTAAAGAGATTTTATACAAAGAAATATTTTTTTAAACATTAATGTTTTCTTTATTCAGGTTATTACTGAACTTCTGACTAACCCAAATGGATTTCCTTCTGGACCTTGATTTTTTGTATTATTCCATATTTGTTGGTTAAGGAATAAACAGAGGACGCCAATAATATTTTATCTTGTCTTTAAGATATGAATAATTAGAATATAAATTAAAATTTCAATGTCCATTTAATGTTTTAGATAATTATTTGAAAACGTTTATTTCGAAATTCTAAGTATTAATTTCATTGAATTTTATTTTGTGGAAGAAATAGTGATGAGTTGCTATATACACATGTACACCTGTATTTGAGATTTTACATGAATTTTACATGTTGTGGGGGATATGAATTCGTTGGTTTCTTCATACAACGAAATCAAAAAAATCAATCCCCCATAAACATTTGTGACAACACAGTAAAAAATTCATAAGATCCAAACTATAGTGATAAACTAAAAACTTACAAAAAAAAAACAAAACAAAAAAAAAAACACAAAGTTTTTGCCTCTATGGTACAAGTTACTAATCAAGAACGGATTCTTTGCACAAATCGTCAAGATGATAATTTACTTCATAAACAACACAATTGAATGGTGAACTTAAACTTGAGCAAACTTGTACATGTATTGGAAATGTTGATTTTCGTTTCCTACTTCAGCAAACACAGAAATAAGACAAATGTTTTCAGTGGAAGTGAAAAACAAATAACAATGACGAGGTTTTATTAAAAAAAAAAAATAAAAAAAAATAACCAAACAGACAGTAATCTGTTCATGTAAATAATGAGCAGAATATAATCGTGAGTACATAGCTTTGTTTAATTTTTATAACCCATGTGTTTAATAAGAAAGAATACTGACTTGGAACAAATGAAAACTTGGAATAAAACATATGCATATCAACAGTTTTGTAGACATTTTAGATAAAATATACATAATCTATATGTAGAATGAAGTTTGAAATTTAACTCTCTTTCCCTCTTAAAAATTCATAAATATATTTTATGTACTGAGTACGAATGTATTATTTATTTCCTTTCAAGGGAGGACAAACCAGACATGGTTTTACAAAGAGCTATCAATATTGTTTTGTTCGTCTAAGATTTTTGCCCTTGATTCTCTTTTTGTAGAGAAACGCGATTGCAATCGACTCGAGGATAAGTTAACAAGCATTGACAAAAATTCATAAATCATTATAACATATTTAAGAAGTGGTGTAAATTAAATAAGAATTCTCAAAAACTCAAAAGATCAGTAAGAAAATATGATACAACAAATGATAAAAATAGCATTTTTTTCTCCAAAATCACTAACATCAAAATAAATAACTCTTCAACATTTTTTAACAATAATTCCTCACGATAAATTAAAGATCCACTTAAGACTTCATAGACAACTGCTTCTTCAATAAAAATTAGTGTTGTCAACGAGTACCCGGTTAATCGTCGAAAGATGCGAGTATCGGTTAGTAAAACTGCTACTCGGTTACTCGGATATATTGAATTTTATAAAGTAAATCAGTAGGAATAATGTATTTTTGTTTGTAATGTCCCAATTTTACTTACCGTTATATAACGTTAGTCTAGTCTAATAAACCTAGCGTTTACAAATGCGATCGACTTGTTTTGATTAGTATTTCACAGTTTACCTAATTGATGGCTTTAATTACCAAGGGGTATACGAGTTTTGAAGGCTTGATTTAATTATAATTACCTAACATAAACTTCTGCTAGTCCGCTGGACAAGATTAAAGAAGATGCCGCCACATGCATCGAAAGCATGGAGATATAAAACAAATAATGCATGGCTGAATTTAAATCCGTGAGGTGTTAATTCGAATTAACATACATGGGTGGGGTGGGACAACTAATATGCTTAACCACCTCAGACTGAAGTTTAACTGTGAAACCAGCGATATATAAAGCGCAAAGCAGCCAACGATTACGGGGTGGTAGAGAACAAATTTATTTAGTAGATACTGTGTGTTTGTAATTATAAATAAAGTTCATATGCAGTGCATTTGTGTTTTGTATATACCGATATACAAATGATAAGATAAATATAGAAATTGTATCGACATTACATGCAATATACATTACAGCTGAGTATATATACCACGAACAAGAATGTTTTGATGTCTAAAGAAAAACCATCCGAGTAACCGGGTTACTCGATCGGAAAAGTAAGCGAGTAACCGGTTACAAAAAATCGTCCGATTTGACAACACTAATAAAAATGGAACTCAGAAATTTTCATTGGTTGTCATTGGTCATCAACAAAAAATCAGTCTGATTCTACACACATGTAATCTAGAGTTGATTTCAAAGGGATGCATGCTGGAGTTCCTCATAGACAATATCAATGTAGTCCACGTATCCCAAAAATCTGCTGGATTTTCGATGGGAACTAATCGTGCTGTATTACCCGACCTACTTTTATTTTCTTTATATTGAAGAAGATTATTTTTAAATTACAGGTGAAGAGAAAAACTTTTGCTGTGGCCTTCAGTTCGACATTTCCATATATATATATATAAAAGAATTTATCGATTAACAATTAGATATCATGATTCATACAATATGAGAACCATCTGTCCTTCTGTATTCAATAATCCAGAAGTGAAAAAAGAATTAGATAGATTACATGATCAGTACGTAGTGGTTCCTGACAAAGCAGGTAACAACATTGTCTTTGTTGTAAGGTTCATTATATTAAATGTATTTTAGAGGAACTTGGATTTAATTCTACAAGTGGTAATCCAACTTATACTCATAGTTCCTTTTCTAAGGAAGAAATTCTTCAAAATCATATGTCAATTTTGAATATTTTTAATATTCCAAACAACCAAAATGAATTTGAATTACCATATTTATATTGGATTCCGAAACTTCATAAAAATTCCTTACAAACAAAGATACATAGCGGGTTCCAGTAAATGTTCAACCAAGCCTCTTTCTTTACTCCTCACTAAGATGTTAACAGTAGTGAAGGACAAATTTCAAGAGTACTGTGCAACAAAATATTCGAGAAGTGGTGTAAATCAGATGTGGATACTTAAAAATTCCAAGGAACTTTTGGAAAATTTGAAATCACAAGATTTTACCAAAACCAACAGCTTAAAAACTTACGACTTTTCAACTTTATACACAACCATTCCCCACGATAAATTAGATGATATCATTGACTGCTGCTTTTTCAATAAAAATGGAACTCGTAAATTTACTTGTTATTGGTCATTTGCAAAATTATTTTGTTAAAAAACATTCTGATTGTACACACAAGTACTCTGAAGTTGACTTTAAAAAGATGCTTGAGTTTCTGATTGACAAAATCTATGTGGTTTTTGGAGACCAGGTCTTCCAACAATCTATTGGAATTCCCATGGGTACCAATTGCGCCCCGTTATTAGCAGACCTTTTTTGTATTCATATGAAGCAGAATTTGTCCAAAATCTTGTACGTGAAAAGAAAACACTTGTTGTGGCCTTCAACTCGACGACGTATTGTCAATTAACAATGGCTATTTCATTCCTATGTCGATACGATATATCCTTGTGAGTTTGAGATAAAAGATACCACAGAGTCTGACACATCTGTTTCATATTTGGATATTTTACTTGAAAAAGACGTTAATGGTAATCTAACAACCAAGCTTTATGATAAACATGATGACTTTAACTTTTCAATCGTCAACCTCCCTTACTTATGCAGCAATATACCTTCATCACCTGCATACGGGGTTTATATCTCTTAGTTGATTCGATACGCAAGAGCATGCTCTACGTATGTACAATTTCTAAAACGAGGTAAATTATTGACAAACAAGTTGATGAAAGAAGAATATCAGCTGTCTAGTTTAAAGTCATCATTTCGTAAGTTCTATGGTCGATACAATGACCTTGTCAGCAAATACAATTTATAATTGAGTCAAATGCTGTCTGACGTTTTTCATACAAATTGTTAGGCCATTATTTACACACTGAATATTGTCGACGGATTTTTCCGTCATTTCCCGATCATGACAAGGAGCACACGGCGGGTTTGACCGGTCGGCAGGGGATGCTCACTCCTCCATGGCACTTGATCCCACCTCTGATGTTTGGAGGTCCATGTTTTCTCTGGTCCTATTTTGTATTGTTTGATGGACTTTTGAGCCTGAATACTGTTTTCGTTATCCTCATATATTTCATAATTCATATTTTGAGTCGATATATCTCAATGAACTCGAAATAACACCTAAGGTCCGCCACATCTGTTTCAAATTCGGATGTTTTACATTAATACCAATCTAACATCTAAACTATATGACAAAAGGGATGGTTTCAGCTTTTCCTTCGTCAGTATCCCCTATTTATGTAGTATTATTTCTTTACCAATGGTTTGCATATGGTTTTTATGTCACCCATCTAATTCGGTATGATAGAGAATATTCTTCCTAAGATCATTTTGAAACTGAGGCAAGCACCTGACAAATAAGTTAATGTTGCAAGGCTTTCAACGATCTCGCATTGATTCAGAATTTCCCAAATTATATGTTCGTTATCATGATCAATACAAAGACCCCACGGTGGGTGTAAGCGGTCAACAGGGAATGTTTTCTCCTAAACATCGGATCCTTTCTCTGGTGTTTCCTAGGGTTCGTATTATTGCCCTGTTTAAAATTTGTAATTTTTTTTGCGAGACTTATATGAGATTGAACACTATTCGTTTTCACATTTTTCATTTTCTTTAATTAACAACAAATCTGTATAAATTATCCATTAACACCACAAAGATATGCAAGTTTATTATAAAATACCGCGAGTCCATCTTATAACGCATAGGATTTTTTAGCATAAAATCTATTTATTCCATTTGAAATTACAAAGTATTTTATACGTTAATCAAATTAACGATTTTCAAAGTCATTTGTCAACATTGTTTTGACAAATAAAAATATAATTCGAATTGAGACTGATATTGTGAAATATATGGAGATAATGAACAGTATTCAAGCTCAAAAGTCCATTAAACCATACAAATTTTGGAGCAGAGCAAACACAGACCTCTGAAACATCAGAGGTGGGATCAGGTGCCATGGAGGAGTGAGCATCTCCTAACGACCGGTCAAACCCGCCGTGTGCTCCTTGTCATGATGCAACAAAACTTGGAAGTAACGGAAAAATCCGTCGACAATTCAGTGTGTAAATAATGGCCTAACAATTAGTATGAAAAAGTCAGTCAGCAGTTGACTTAATGATAAATTGTATTTGCTGACAAGGTCATTTTATAGACCTTAGAACTTACGAAATGACGACTTTAAACGAGACAGTTGATATTCTTGTTTCATCAACTTGTTTATCAATAACTTACTTCGTTTAAGAAATTGTTCATACGTAGAGCATGCTCTTGCGTATCGAATCAACTAAGAGATATAAACCCCGTATGCAGGTGATAAAGGTATATTGCTGCACAAGTGAGGGGAGTTAACGGTTGAAAAGTTAGTCATCACTTTTATCATAAAGGTTGGTTGTTAATTACCATTACCATTAACGTCATTTTCTAGTAAAATATCCAATATGAAACAGATTTGTCAGACTCTGTGGTATCTTTTATTTCAAGCTGAACGAGATATATCGTATCGACATAAGAATGGAAATACGTCGCCGATATATCTAAATGTCGAGTTGAAGGCCACAGCATGTGTTTTCTCCTTTTCACGTATAAGATTTTGAACAAATTCTGCTTCATATGAATACAAAAAATAGGTCTGCTACAACGGGGCGTAATTGGTACCCATGGTAATTCCAATAGAAGACCTGGTCTCCAAAAACCACATAGATATTGTTAATCAGAAACTCAAGCATCTTTTTAATATCAACTTCAGAGTACTTGTGTGTACAATCAGAATGTTTTTAACAAAATAATTTTGCAAATGACCAATGACAAGGTAAGTAAATTAGTTCCATTTTTATTGAAAAAAAAAGCTGTCAATGATATTAAAAAGCCTGGATTTAATTTATCGTGGGAAATGGTTATATATAGAGTTGAAAAGTCGTAAATTTTTATGTTGTTGATTTTGGTAAAGTTTTGTGATTTCAAATTTTCCAAAAGTGACTAAAATGTTAACAATTCGATTGCGTCAGTTATTAGATGTAATACATGTATTTAATTTTAGTTTTTACAATTGATAATTTTAATAAGAGTATCATTGCAAATGAAATTTGAAGATAATTAACGAACTCAAAGTCCAATTAAACAATGCAGAGTGTGAGCAGACCCTGAAATCAGGGTGGGATCTAGTGCCATGGAGGAGTGAGCCTCCTCACATGGACCGTGTGCCCCTTGCTATGATCGGGTTGACGGAAAATTTGTAGACAATTTGGTGTGAAAATAATGGCCTAATAATTTGTATGAAAGAACGTTAGTTAACATTAGACCTAACGATAGATTGTATGTCCAAAGACGAGCAAGCCTAAATATGAAGTAAGTCGAAACAACCAAAATCAAACGGTTTTCTTTCTGCTCTGCACTCCGTATATGGCATCACATACGAAGGCGCCCGATTTAAGTATATTGATTCATATATTAAAAAAATACACCAAGCCATACTTGTGCAAATTTTTATTATTAATCAAAAGGAATAGGTTCATGACCAGAATGCGGCAACACTATAATAATCTGTTGTCAGTTTAAAAAATTAAACGAAAGTATGAAGACAACTTAGAGATATATTTACAAATCAATGCATCTCACACACGATTCGCGCGCGCGCGTGTGTGTGTGTGTTTGATAGCGACGCCTTTGATAGAGAAGAGTACACTTCAAACATTTAACATATTTTGATAGATCTGATCCTTCTCATAAAATGAAAATAGACTAAAAGTACATATTTAACTTTAGTCCAAGAATACACTATCAAAACGTTAGATACCTTTGTATACTCATTGCAGGGTTTCCAATGCACAATTTTTTTTATTTCAATGCGCCACCCATGTATGTTAAAATGCAACTTAATCATTTCCATTATCCTGATATATTTATTAAATTGCATGTCAATAAAATAATTTTGCAACATAATAGTAAGAATGAATTCGCATAAGACAGATACATTGCATCCTTTTAAAAATATATGTTTTGTAGATATTAATTAAACCTTTCCCGCTGATAAAATTTCCAATTTGTATTCAATAGTTTTTATGCGAAGTATTTAGAATTGTTATATCATTCTGTTCAACCTTAGTGAAAACTATAAGCTGTTTAAAGGTAGTTACGGGCTTTATAAATTTCTGTCAAACTAATTTTTTTTTTCATTTGAATACCTTAAATACCTCATAAACTAACTTTGCATGCTTATTTTCATACAACCTGTATCAGAGTACATACCTCTCAAAATTTAAATGTCAAAATTAAACATAGAGATGTATGATCTAATTTTGTATTTAGTTATGCACCGAAACACATATTATTTCGATTAAAACTTTTGAAAATCAAAAATATTCATTTGCAAAAGGAATTTTTGAAGATTTTCAATGGAACACGTTAACAGATTGATGTTGAATCTGTCCATGTCCTTCAGAAAAAAAAATCACAAAATATATGTACCTTAGTTTTGAATAATTCTCAAAATTTAAACTGTTTACATGCCATTTTTTCTTTAAAATTATTTAGAATTATATCTTAGGTTAACAAAAAATTCTAATTTTATCATGCTTAATACATCAATACATCAATTTTATCATGCTTAATACATCAATACATATGTAGTAAGATATAAAAAAAACTTCAGTCTTAAAATCAATACAAATACATTTCAAGTCAATTTTTATGAAAAATACTAAAAACTTCGCTCCATACAGGTAATTTAGAATTTTGTGTCTGTGTGTATGTAAAATATGCCTTTTAGATCCAACGGACAGAGTGCAAAGTGTTAATTCCCAGAAATAATATATATATTTAATAACTTGTATGCACAATGACACTATAATAAACAGTTACATACTTGCTATTTTGTTAACCATCATCTAAAAAAATCATTTTGAAAGACAATTGATAAGCAGAATTTTATAATCGGTGTATAGAATTAAAACCGGATCCGTAAACGTATGGGCCTTCCTTAAAACAACCCCTAGCTGATTTAACAAAAGTAGCTCTGATATGTACAAACAACCTATTTGTACAACATTTTAACAAAAGGCAATCTGCAATTTAGTGGATACATTTGTTACATGTCTGAATCAGTCTGTCCTCCTTATGCAACTTATTTATCTTACGTGTAAAATTGTTCTTACATAACAAGTGTCAGGTACTTATGTCTCATGTTAAACATTGTAAATTCTTATTTAATGTACTCCGTTTACCAGTATGTAGATGGCATGAGATAAATTGAACTTTGGAAAACAACCTTCTATTGATGGCTGCATACAGGAATTGTTGAATGCTTTAATGTTCCTATATTTGTTATGAATTGACACACAGAGATCTTTGTTAGACCACCTAGGCACAAGGTCATAAATGCACGTAGCCCTGAATAAGGTTGGGAGTTCTCTTCCCCCCCCCCCCCCCATATTAAAAAGGAATATTCATGTATTTATATTAAATTAATAGACTATAATTCTTATTTATTTTTTGAGATTGTTCACTTTGCCAGGCTTTAAAGTACATTTTTCTCATAGACAACAAATCCACTTTTCCTATTTATTTCCCCACTCGTGTCAGAAGGACACATTTTTCAGACGTTTGTGACGTTTTTCAGACGTTTCTGTTAAAATGCTTAAATACCGATTGTATGGTTGAATCAACAACATATAATGCACTTTATTATATGAATTTTAATTATAGAAAGTGGATATAAATGAAATAATTCTCAGAAAAACCTTCCAATTTAATATATATATATATATAAATATATATATATATATATATATATATATATATATATATATATATATATATATATATATATATATATATATATATATGAATTTACAGAAAAGTCAAAAGGGTTGACTTTGTTAGTGATTATTTAGAGTCCGTCTCGAATTATAATTTGTAAATGAAATGTGTTTGAATCAGAAAAATAGACTCAAATTACTGCAGCTAGCGGTCAAAGAGCAATTAGTATTCTGCTGTATTTTTTCTATAGAAACTAAGATAGATATATGAAAAAAAGATATGAATAAATGCCTATCCAAGAAATTACATTTTTTTAACACATCTATATTGTTCGGCACTTAAGCCAAAAAATCAAATTCTTTTAGGAAGTAAGTGTTTCACAAATATTCTATTAACAATTTCGAAATTAGATTAAAGATAGAGTAACATCAATGGTATAAACATTCTCATTTATAAATCTTAAAATCGGCTCTAATTGAAAATGACAAATCTGTAAAATTTAGGATGAATGGAGATAGGAGGGTTTAAAACACTGTTGCATTCGACGAATGTGGTCTACCTTATTTTTAAGTCTTCGGTAAAAATCCAAATCGCAAAATATGACTATAATCGGCGTAAATGTCCCATTAAAAGACTTTTGTTTGACAAAACCACAAGCCTTAAAGTTTTAATTAATTTGTTAAACTACGACTCTTCAAATCCTTTACTTCCATTTCGTCAGCAATTATTTCCTTGTGATATCCAAGAAATATGGTTGCGAAATTCAAAACTTGTAACTTTATAAAGAGCAGAAATTTTATTGCCATTGCGTAATTTAGACATAGCTTATATTTGCTTTTACATGTCCAGACAAGAAAACAATTGTTTGAACATGCAATTCTTTGATTTAGATATTTAGCTTCCGCGTTTAACATTGCACAAATCATCAAAATCGATCACTATTTTTTTTTTTGCGACGACCAGTTGATGGTTGGTCTGGGGTATATAAGGACACCTTACTCCCAGTCTAATACAGTTTTCCCGACGTCCCGGAGAAGAAACACCAAAAAGGTAGCTTTTTCTTCAGTTTTCCTTAGACATCAATTTAATTTTTTTTTTGGTATTTTATTCGTAGGATTTTTTTTCTATTTTGTGCAAAATCCTCCTAAAGATATTACAATTCTTCTCTGCAAAATTACTCTAAAGGCCTCTGTTTATTTCTCAGATCAACATGCTGAAGGAAGTTTGTTTTCTGTTGATGGCCACATACGTGGCAGCCACCTATGGAACTGGTAAACTAATATCTTTACATTCTAGAAATGATCATTTGAAGAAAATTGAATTCAATTTTAAAGACAGAAACTTTATTTATAGGTTATCCTTCTATCCCATCATTCCCCACCTATCCCTCCGGTGGATACAGGTATATCGTCTACATCCAATATCTCTACTACCTGTACGTCATATATGGACCCTACTCTGTCCAGTATATCCAGTACTACCAATACTTGGTCCGTCTACACATCATCCCTCAGGGATTCCGTTTTGGAAGTGGTGGTTTCCCTGGCGGTATTGGTGGTTTCCCTGGCGGTATTGGTGGTGGTTTCCCTGGCGGTATTGGTGGTGGAAGTCAAATTATAGGTGGTGGTAGCGGTATAACCCCTATCGGAGGAGGATACATCCCAGGTGGCGGATTTCCATATGGAAGTGGAAATCTAGGAGGTGGTTTTGGAGGAAGTGGTATTGGTGGTCTGTCCCTTGGCGGCATTGGAGGATTCCCATCTGGTGGTGGTGGATTCCCTCTTAGTAGCGGAGGAAGCTCTCTCAGTTTCTCCAGTGGCAGTTCCTTCCAAAGTGGCGGTCTTGGAGGTGGCCTTGATGGAATCGGAGGTTTGGGAAGTGGAATTGGCGGTATCGGAGGAGGTCTTGGCAGTGGTTTCGGTGGTGGTCTCAGTGGCCTCGGAGCTGGTTTTGGAGGTTTGGGAGGAGGTCTTGACAGTGGTTTCGGCGGCGGTATAGGTGGTCCTGGTGGCTTAGGAGGTGGTTTTAGTGGAATCGGAGGTCTGGGAGGAGGTTTTGGTAGTGGTATAGGCGGCGGTCTTGGCGGTGGCTTTGGAGGTGGCCTTGGACACGGAGGCGGAAAAAAGCTAGGTAATTTATCTACTTACATTGATATATAATGATGGTTAAATGAGTAGTTCATTCTCCCATCTGTTTGAAGCCTGATTTATTTCTATATACAGGTTACTACTGAGATGTTCTGAGACTATCTGAGATTGATGCCGTATTCGACTCTGATTGTATTCTTATTTCTTCATGATTGTTAGGTTACGGAATAAAGAGATGAAACTCAATTTTGTTATCCAACGTCTTTTACAAGGGTATAGGGGTCAAGTACACAACTTCTTTGAGAATTCTCGAAAAAAAAAAAGAATTTTGCTAAGGATTATGAAAACCTCGAATGGTGATCAATTCTATATGCTAGGTAAGTAAATTTAATTAATGGAAAGAAAATTTTTCGAATATATTTTCACAGTTCTTTTGTAAATGGGTGTAAAATTCAAGCTTTTTACTCACATTTCCTTTATAAATGAAAAGAAAAAATATATACCGATGCAAAATTTCGTCTGCTCGTTTAAAGTATCGAGCAACACAGGGAAAAGTTGACAAATCTGTGAAAAACTAGATTATTGATCTAAATCAAAGGAAAATATTTATTCACAACAACTGAAAATATGGAATAATAGTTGTAATACATGAAACTACCAGATCTTGGTGGGTTTGCCTTTACTTCATCAGAAACGCAAAGAAATAAATTGTCTACACAGGTGCCTGAAGTCAGGACTACTCGCCCCTTGTCTCCTTCTGGTTGAATGTTCCTCACTGTTGCCTCATATCCAATTTATGACTTAAAGTTAATACAGGTATAGCTTTTGTTTCAAAATCTTTGTAGTCTTTATCAACAACCATAAAAATAATTTAATGGCATACACTATCAGCCATACAATTCTTGAGTAGTTCTTGGGTTTGTACTTCTTCAACAGCTTTCACAGATATTAAGCCTACTAAATATACAAAGAAAAAAGAATAAACACAAATTTCAATGTTTGCATGCAATTATAGAACATTCTATTTTCCATGAAAATTTAGAAGAACCTTTCAATAGTTGCTATAGGCCATCACGGTAGCTCAATCGATAGGGCGCTCGCTCCATGATCGGAAGGATGAATCACGACCGCAACTGACCAGAGTCGATAAAAAAAAAATAGGTGGCAACTGTTCCTTTGCCAAGCGCTCGGAACTTTGAAGTGATAGTTGCGGGTCCTTCGGATGAGACCTTAAAAAACCGAGGCCCCGTTGGCACGATAAAGATCCCTCACTGCTCAATGGCCCTGAGTGCCGAGTAAAGGTCTAAATATGAAGCCTTTCACCGGTATATGGTAACGTCTGTATGTAAGTGTAAAATTCTCGAACGGGACATAAAACAACATACAATCAATCAATCAATCACTAGTTGCTATAAAAAAATTAATGTGTCAGTGTCTCTTTTCTTCGTTTTTTCCGATTATTTAGATTAAAAATCTTGAAAAATTGTTCAGTCGTTAGAAAAATTAGATCAGCAGAAAATTATTCCTTGCCATGTGCAGCATTTCAATCAATGAAATAATTGGAAATGTTCACATCATGCATTTTCTATCAATCACAAAAGAGAGGAAGTGCATAATAGAAGTCCAAAGATTGTAAAATATCCAACTCTGGTATACCGTCTTCCAATTACTCCCTGATGGATTAATTTTTTTTAAATTTTGTTTTGATCATTGAGAAGACAAAACAATACAAATGTTAAAAAAAAATCAATCCAGAATACCTCAATTACCGTCAATTATGCTGTTGTTCTTGGACAATATTGCGTCTTTTTCTCAGCTTTTCAAAACTTCTTTGGAAGAATTCTTCATTTGCTTTTTCAACCTCGTTATCAATGATTTCTTTTCATATAAATTTTTTTTTATTTCTTGATTTAGTTTAAAAGTGTTTATTCTTAACTAATCCTAAGTATTCCCCCTTTTTTTAAGAACATAAATGATCTTTATTCTCTACTTTCCTGGTAATGGCTTTATATATACAAAACGGAACAAATCCAGTACTGCATCATAGACCTCTTAGGTATTTTACCACTTGCTACAATCCCTCATAAGTTAAATTTTCTTTAACAAAATAATTGCGCTGCCAAACACTTTACTAGCATGAAAAACCATGAAGTAAACAAAGTATAAGCAACATAAGCAACGTCTCTTATTACTGTTGTTGGCTAACTTTTTAAAAACTGTTTTTCTTAGTTAGTTTTAATTTTGTAAGATCATAATCGACTTGCACCATAGCATCACAGGTTGTCCATGGATACTGAATGTTTTTAATTGTTGTCTGATTTTTTATACGTACTTTATTTCTATGTTTTTATCAAATAAGGGATTCTTTTTCTTTACTATTTAGATCTATCGACGACGTTTATCAATTAACAATATTCACTTTCATTCTTACTTTGATTCAATATATCCCATTGAACTAAATAAAAGATACCACGGAATCTGACACTTTTATTTCATATTTGGATATTATACTAGGAAGAGACATTTACTAAATTTTATGATAAACGTGGTGACTTAAACTTTTCTATTGTCAGCTTCCCTTATTTATGTAGCAATAAAGAATTGTCAACTGCATATGGAGTTTATTCCCCAAGTTGACTGAATACGCAAGAGAATGTTCTACGTACTAATAATTTCTAAAACGAGGCAAGCTATTGACAAATAAGTTAATGATTTATGGATATCAACAGCCTCTTGTAATGTAAACATTTCGCAAATTCTATGGTCGATACACTGACTTTGTTAGCAATTACAATCCATCGATAAGTCGAATGTTAACTGATGTATTTCATACAAATTTTACAGCATTATTTTCACACTGAATTGCCTACCGATTTTCCGATTACTGGAACATGACAAAGAGCAGTTGGCGGATGTAACCGGTCGACAAGGGATGCTTACTCCTCCATGGCACCTGATCTCAGCTCTGATGTTTTTAGGGTCCGTGTTTGGTCTGCTCCAAATTTGTATTGTAATTGAACTCTGAGCTTGATTACTATTCGTGGTCTTTATATTTCATTTGAAATCAAACAAGATGGATTTCACATCACAGAAACCTTTCTGAAATAGGGAACTGGAAGTCCTTGCAACTGATAAGTACTTGATTACCTCAAACAAGTTGATTATGGAAATATTTACATGTATTTAGACAACAAAGTTTTCAGTTTTTCAACATTCTTTAACGATCATCGGTGAAACATCCTTTTGGTCTATACCTTAACAGTATATCTTGACTACATTTGTACATGTATGCATTCATAAATCGTGTACGCATTTAGCTAATCATGCAGTGAAAAGGTTGTTGTTTTTTTGTGACAACTTGAGTAACTCAGTTAACCTCTTGATATCATTTGTAAGATAACGCTAACGCTAAATCGATAAAATACAACTATTCTATTTAGAATTTTATCTTTAATCATTCTTATTTTTAACTGACGTTAAATAAAATAAACAATGAATAATATCGCCAATTTCCCATGCAAAAATTAATACTATAACTGCACATGTGTTTGTCATATATGGCACTTAGTATCGATAAACTTCAACAATACTTGATGTCTGGTAGCCAATTAGTAAAGCAGAATGCATGTCGACTCCTACGGCCGCTACTCCTTTTCTACCGACACATAACTTCCGCCGCAACTGTCCCTCTGCTGTAATAACGTGTATTGTTTCACTTCCATCACAAACAAGGATATTATCGCCCTTATCTACCGTCAGACCTGTCGGATTGTTTATTGGGTAGGTAAAGAGGTGGTTTCCAGTGATATCAATGATCACCACACCCTTCTCGGAATCGCATATGCAGATATCTTCGTTTTTCATGGTTGCTAAATGCACTGGCGATTTAAAGAGCACACCTACTTTTGAATCTCTTTCATAAACTTGAAGCTCTTTTCCAATTTTGCTAAATCTTGCCACCTTTGAACATTGTTTATCTTTATTTTGAAGTCCAGTAAAAACATCACCCGTATGTACAGAGCAAGCGACGCAAGTAGCCACAAATCCATCGGAAAAATACATAATAAAGGGACGTAACTGCCTCTTGACAAATCTCATGAGGCTGTTCCTGTAGATGAAGAGCAGATCTCCTTCCTCTGTGAACGTATGATATTTAATTTCTCCTTCTCCCAGACAAACCGTATCCTTCTGCTTCCCGTCTTTGTCAATAGACACCAGTAATTCGTTTCCGTTTCCTAACCACGTGAGCCCTTCTCGACACGTGATCTGTTTTATACCCGGGGTCACTTTAGTTTTCTTAATTCTCCTGATTAACGACGCTCGCTCTCCATCTACAATGCCAAAAATGAGTTTGAGATTCTGATAACAAACATGCATTTTATATATAATATGTTGACGGTGCGACCGTGGGGGCGAGCGCATTGTTCTTGCCTCTTCAAACCGCAAGAGACATTTGGAACGTCTAGACTGTGACGTCACATGACGTCGTATGTTAGTTGCATTTCCATAAACAAAGTTTAAAAAGTGCGAAGATTTTAACAAAGAATGTTTAATCTACTATCTGTATGCAATATCCATTAAATTAAGGTGAGTTTATTTTTTGTGAATTTTTAGTTGTTGTTACTGCGCGAACGAAGATAGCAGCGAGACCAACAAGCGATGCATTGTGGGTCCAGAATTACTGCGGAAAAAATTCTATTGAATGAATGTGCAGTAGTCCGAATTTTCTCTTCGCCCAGGCGTTGTCGTTAGAGCTCGCAGTATATGTGTATACCCAGGTATTTTATTTTCAAAAGCATGAAATTTATCGAAAGATCATCGTTTTTAAGGATCAGAGACGGTTACTGGATTAAATTTAATTTGCAGAAAAGTTGCCGCTATATGAAGGCATCGGGCAGTGTAAGACTGGGTACCTGCCAAATATTTTAAAACGGAATAGGGAAATCTTGGTTTTAGTGCTTTCTTTCTGGTGTTTCAAATCATTTATGGTAAGCATTTTGAGGGTAGTGGCACTATTTCATTCCATTCGTATATGACACTAGCGTCACTATTACCATTTATAGTATAATCTAGTGAAAATACGGCACTACAATCAAAAATCAAGTTTTTGCTTGGAGAGGCGGCATGAGTCAAAGGATGAAATGTAGTTTGATGTCAAGGTTAATGACCAACATCTTTGAAAATCATCGATATACATTTCATGCGGAGGAACGGACCTTAAAGCTGATGTAGAACTGATTAAAATCGTCAAAATAGGACAAAATTCTGTGGCATTTATAGAAAGTTTCCAAACTGCCAAAACAGAAAAGAATGGTGTCGAGCAAATACACAAATGATGATACAAATAACGAAAATGGTGCTTAGCTCTTACTGTATATTTATCCCCCCCCCCCCCCAATTATCTGTGTAAATACGATTCATCGAAACTGAACAAGCAGATTTATCTTTTTTTTGTACAATGTATTTTGTTCTACGTTCTAATGAAATCAACCAAAAAGAAATGACTACAGCAGGAAAACATTTCAAAGTTACTTAGATACTTCTGGTTAAAATGTTTACAGAGAAACGAATGGATAGAAGAGGGACATTTCACCAAGGCAGAAACTCTGGTCCAACTGAGCTCAGAACGACATAGTCAATCCATTTCATTATTATGAAATATTTACCTGATTTCTCGCTATTTTCTCTAGACTCTATCTGTCGATTTTGAGATATATCTGAAAAGAAGGTACAAAAAGTTCTTGATTGAATAAAGCACCACTTTGCAAAAATAATTAACGCTTACGCTTGAAGAAATTTAATCAATACTTATACAGAGTTTTACAAGTCCGCAATCTTCAGAAAATTTATACATGTATAATGTGGAGTTTGCTTCATGTACCTGCAGACTCACTCATTCCGTTTTCGGAGGGTATGACATTCTCTGGTAACATCATTTCCGGAGGGTTTTGAAGATGAAAAAGGATTTCAGTTAGCAGCTCTTTGGCCTTTTGATCAAACGGGTATTTTCCAGAAAACTCAAAAAATAGTTTTTCTCCAAGAATCATCCCAAGCCATCCTCTAGGTTCATAGTCTCTCTGCATTTTTAGAGGAATGATGATTTTTTGTAACTTATTGGCATATTCGGCCTCTGAAAAAAGAAAGTAATAGTTATAATTAAATATTCTCTACTTAAATTTATTATAACACTTCACACATTCAAATAATATCAAAATTTGTCTAAATAGTAGAGTCCTTCCTGATATCCTTTATTTTAGCAAATAAAATATACCACATGACTACATGTTGTATATTTTATTTGCTTAAATAAAGTAGATCAGGAAGGACGGTAGCAATAGTAAAATAGACGATTTGAACTTCTCTTGACACTATTAAATAAATGAATTGTATTGCCCGTGTAATCCAGTAATTTTGAATGAAGAGGCAAATCATGATATATACACTCAATACTGATTATTCCTTACTGAGTTTTTGTCTCTAAACGTATGTTACATATATCAATTTAAACTTATCTATAACAATCTAGATTAGTTTAAATTGATAAATTAATTTTTTTTATGTAACACGTATTCTAAATTTATCAATATTTGTTAAGGAAAAATACCTTGTCGACAGTTCTTGCTCGTGAAGTATTTAAAAGAGTAGCACATAAGGAATATGTGTGAGTGCTCTATGGCCTCTGCCATCGCTTGTAATGTAGACCCCTTCATGCTCTCCTCGTCAATCCAGCACACAATTTTATTCCTCTCCAGAAAGTTCTTAACCTTATGCACCACCTCCTTTGATCCCCACTGGTAACTGATCATCACATCATAATGCTTGGGTTGTTGGCGTGGTGTAGTTGCAGCTCTTTGTTTCAAAGATGCATCTAAATGTTAACAAACACAATATGCATATGTAATGAGAGGAAAAAACTATCATCTATAAGATGATTAAAAAAACACACACACACACACACAAAATAGGTGCTTAAGGACAGGACCTCTCCCCAGAACCGATTACATTGTATATACCATAAGATTTTAAATTGCTATTCTAGCACATATTTGAAATGTGTGCTCAATATTACAAATCTTTGCGGAAATATAAAATTTTATAATTAAACTGCAAACATATGATTACAAAAAAGAAGTCTTTTTTTTTTAAATTTCAATATTTAAGGCATTGTAAATTTGCTAGAAGAGCAGTTTGAGTTGGTATAATCGGGGAAGTGGGGGGGGGTACTGTTTACAATCACCCGTTGTGTAAAGCAGCAATGTATCAGAACTCTTCATAAAAATATGTACTGAGTGTGTGTTGTTTTCAAGTTCCATCCAGGAATTTTTCACTCATATAGAGACGTCACCATATACCGGGTGAAGGGCTCAAATTTACACCTTTACTCGGCACTCAGAGGCACTGAGCCGTGAGGGTACTTTATCGTGCCAACGGCCACCTTGACATGGGGTCACTACCAATGTTTACGTCTTAGGTTTGACGCGCGGGGAACGAAATTCGAACCCAGCCTTCCGATCACGAAGTGCCCTGCGTATATTATGAATAAGGTTTCTCTTTTTTTCTTATAATGTTATCAAAAGAAAACAACTCCATATCATGTAAAAATTTTGTAGTAAACCTTGATAATACTATTTCATTTACACTGAATAAATGGTGGGCAAAGAACCATTATTAAAAATATAAATATATATTTTTACCATCATGTTTTCTTATATACTCTTTCCAATCAAACTTACTAGTGTCTGCAGATTCTTGTCTGGGTTTAGCTTGGCTCGACAACCGCTGCTTTAAAGCTTTGGAAAAGGCTTCTTCTTCCAAGAAATCCATCTGTGTTATAACAGCAGCATTCTGCATATCATATCCCAAAGAAGCAAAAACATTCATCAATAATTCAGCAAATATTTCTCGTATTACTTCATTTTGACTGTCTCTTCTTGGTTCATCTTCATAACCAGCAATATATATACCGTCCGGTTTGACTCTTTCCAGAGTATAATTTGTCATCTTGCTAAAAGTATCTACAAACTTTATCATCATCGAGATAGCTTTCCAATCCATTTTTGGAGTTTTAGAAATAAAATTTCCCTTTTCTATGATTGAATTTCTTAGCTCTTCGGGATCTGCAACAGATTTGCGTTTTCTAAGAATGGGAATCCCTGCATGCCTCGGTACTTCCTGTAAGTCAGATTCCCAGTGAGCCGACGCTTTGCTGTGCTGTAGAATTTGTCTTAACATGTCGTACAAGACTTTTACCTTATCCTCGGTAACCTCACTGTCACTGATTTCGGACTTCAACGTAGCAAACCTTTTCAGCATTGCTCTTGATTCTGCACATGAAATAATAGACAAATACATTTTTAAAAACACAGTTTGGATTGCTTTGTAAATAGAGTCAATATCATGCAAAGGAAATAAAAAGTGAAAATACACTATGTCATTAAAAAAGAGAGGCACCTCATCAAACATACAAATTTATATAGGTTTGGGAATACTTTAAGTCATTTTTTTCTATCACATCCCGAAAATTATGAAAGACATTTTCGAACAGATATTGCCTTAATTGGGCAAAAAACTAAGCATGAAAATCCTCTTATCTTTAACCATGAATGAATGAAGTAGAAAAGACAATCAAACATTTCTCGACTTTGAAACATTTCTCTTGCAATGTTTGGCACAACTCAAAACAATGCACTCTTAAAATACTATCAAGTATGGGACGCCACACTACTGTGATGGATCTTCATTAAGATGAGTTGTTTTTGTATTATATGGCCAGATAAATCAGATGTGGATACAAAAAAAATCCAAGGAACTTTTAGAAAATTTGAAATCACAAAAATTTACCAAAATCAATAACATCAGAACGTTCGACTTTTCAACACTTTATACAATCATTCCCAACGATAAATTAAAGTCCAGGGGCCCGTTTTACAAAAGAACGTACGACTAAGACCAAAATCTTTAGTTGATTGTAAAATTTTGCAAAATTATTTATTATGTTTGAAATTGCTAGCATAAAAATATCTTGTTAAATTCTTTTTTTAAAAAATTAAAACCATTTTCGAATGAATGTAAATTAGAAAGCAATAAGCAGAATCAAATTTTGGTCTTAGTCGTAAGTTCTTTCGTAAAACGGACCCCAGGCTTCTTGACATCACAGACAGCTGCCCCCTTCCCATCCCCCTCCCCCTCGAAACAAATGGAACTTTGGAAAAATTTACTTAACTTGTCATTAGTCATATGCAATTTTTTTTGTAAAAAACATTCTGATTATACACAGAAGTACTCCGAAGTAGACATCAAAAACATGCTTGAGTTTCTGATTGACAATATTTATGTAGTTTTTGGAGATCAGGTCTTCCAACAATCTGTCGGAATTACCATGAGTACCATTTGCAGCCCGTTAATAGCATGATATTTTATGCTAGTAAAATTATTTTAAGTTAAGTTTCATGTATTGTATGTAAGAGTGTAAATCCCCACTTTGTGCCTCTTATCAGTAAACCCGTGGGGACCCCCCGGTAATTCTATCCTTTTGAGATAAGCGAACTAGCATCATTCTATCCACTACTACTGTAAAGACAAGACGGCCAATCATTTGCTTAAAATATTTTGGATTACCCACCTCCATCCCCAAACAGACCTTTAATGTACATGTACATCAGGCCACCTCAGATTCAAATGTTTTTTGTTTTCATTGTAATATAATTTCTTTGTATATGTATATGTATATATATATATATATATTGTATGGTCATATTCCCTTAAAAATCGGAATTATGTCAAATTTAACACAATTCATATGTACAAGCCATATTTTGAGGCCACCTATTTTGCCAATTTATATATGTTATGTAATAGTCGCATACTGGGAGGACAATTTGTTCTTGCATAATTGTTTAATATTTTTTCTCAGGAATTGTGTTTTAATGTTACATAGTCTCCCAGTCTTTTTCATTAAGTTTTATGTATTATATTATATGTTGTCATTTCATAATAAATGACATTGTTTGGAACATATCTGTCTTGTGTTATTTGGCAAAAAACAAGCTCAATGTTGTCAGAGGAGTGTTTAATCCTAGGAATGAAAGCTGAACTTAAAGACCTACTTTTGTATTCATCTGAAGCAGAATTTATTTTTAAAAATGGGGAAAAGAAGACACTTTAACTCACATTTAATATATCGACGAAGTAGTTATATTTCCATTCATATGTCGACTCGATATATCCCAGTGAACTTTAAATAGAAGATATCATTGAGTCTCATACATCTGTTTTAAAATTTGAATATTTTACTAGAAAAAGACGTTAATAGTAACCTAGCAACAAAACTTTATGATAAACGTGATGACTTCATCTTTTCTATCGTCAACTTTCCGTACTTATGTAGCAAGATACATGTACCCTTATCACCTAAATATGGGGTTTATATCTCCCAGTTGATTCGATAAGCAAGAGCATGCTCCAAGCACAAACAATTTCTAAACCGAGGCAAACTATTGACGAACACGTTGATGAAACAAGGATATTAGCAGTCTCGTTTAAAGTAATCATTTTGCAAGTTCTACAGTCGATACAATGACCTTGGCAGCAATTACAATTCTTTCTTTAAGTGGAATGCTGACTGACGTTTTCTAAATCGATTGTTATGCAGCTATTTCAACACTGAATCGTCTATGGATTTTTTTCGTTTGCCCGACCATGACAAGGAGCACAAGGCAGGTGTGACCGGTCTACAGGGGATGCTTACTCCTCAATGGCACCTGATCCCACTTCTGAAATTTTTTTCTTTTGGTCCGTGTTCGCTCTGCTCCCGATTTGTATTGTTTGAACAGACTTTTGAGCTCTGATTAATGTTCGTTATCTCCATATTTCCTGTCGTGACGTCCCATAGTATGGGGTAAAACATTCGTTTTTTTATTTAGATATAAGAAGTCAGATTTTCCAAAGTTTAGATGTTACCGAATCTCAACTTTGTTGACAATGTAAAAATTTTAAATACACACATGATTTTTTCTGTCATTAATTGTACTTTCCTTTACTAAATTACCTTTTCTTTCCTTTTCAATCTCTGCAAAGTCAGCAGCTGTCTTTAAAATGACATCAACAGCGCGGGTGTCGATGTTTTGAAACATGGCGATTAATTCTTCGTATTTACCGGGAGCTATGAGTCCTTTCCGTTCCATACACAGGAAATCTGTCAGAATGGGAGAGCCGTCGTGTTGGGCGGAGTCGCAGAAACGCCGAACCTGAGCTTTCCATCGTGAAACGTTTTTGTTGTGTTTAGTTAATTTAACATTCAGGAAATCTTTTATCAGCAATTTCCGCAAAGACTCATGGAGTTCTGATTTCCGTTGTCTAAAACTGCGAAAGAAAAATTAATTTTAGTTGTCTGTATTCAGGTCAATGAACGAAGGGATATTTTTCAAGCTGATATATGACAAGATCTGTACGTTCTCATTTAGCAATTAAATGAAACATTTTTAATAAAGTAGAATATTTACCATCATTCTTAAAATTAAAAAAAAATCTTCATGAATACCTATTATTTGCAGGTAGGCATCATTTAGTAATAAGAGTTACCACTCTTTATTTGATTTTCAATTTTATATTTTTTAATTTTTTTTTTTTTTTAGAAAATTGTTACAACCAGATGTTTTATATATAATCATTTCTTTTTTAAAATTGAATGTAAAATTTAAAGTGAAATTAGCAAAATGATATAATTTTGTAAGTTACTCATTACTTATGGGAGATCTTAACATCCAACAAACAAAGTGTAAACCTATTAAGCTTGTATTTCTTCATTTTTTCCTGGTCAGCACTAAAATCAAATGACATACTAAGAATATGGAATTTTTTTAGGTCTTCAAAGCACTGAGAATGAAAGCGTTAGTTAAAAAACAAAGCTTCTAAAGGCCTATAAGAATAAAATACTTACTTGGACATTTTAACTATCGATCCCTTTCGTAAAATACTTAGTTTCCCTGTTAAGGAAGCATTATCATCTAATGTCCCAAAAACAACATTAGAGGACAAATGTACTACCACATGAATTCATTATATTAATGTTATATTCAGTCTGTTATTTAAATTTTGCATTTAAAACCAGCAGGGTGACAAATCGTAGCATTATGAAACATTTGAATGTTGTCGCACTAATTGTCAAAGAAGATTACTTAAAGATAAAAAGAGTTAAAGGTTGATGCATGTTACGTTATCCATATTTCAATCGAGCGAACTGTATTTGTAAGACATTGATTAAATCTATATTAATTCTATCCACAATCGGAAGTGGGGTATACAGCTATATTTTATCTTTTTTATAAAGAACTTTAAAAAAAGTTAAGATTTTTTTTAGAGAGTAACACAATGACACGAGGAAGTATGCTGCGATTACTGCAACTATACCATGAAAAATACAAATCTACTAATGTATTCATTTTAAATACATAAATGTATTATTTAATTATAAATTTCATGTATGAATTATAGTAACGCAAATACTTCTTTAACAAAACTTCTGAGTAGGAGAGAAATACGGGTATGATTAATGTAAAAAAAAAAAAAAAAAAAAAAACCTGTGTACCTTGATAATTTAAACTGAACGCAAGTTATTTTTCCACTCCGTGTGTATATGATCAAAATAAAATGAAACTATGAAAATTGTTTACAGAAATAAACGTTAATGAATAGAACTGTAAGATATTCAACAGGTGCCATGCCACACGGAGTTAAGTGTTCATTGAGCAAGTTAGGTCAGAAAGTCTTTCGAATGAAAAACACGAAGATAACGAACAGTGAACGATCTCGAAAATCGCAATATGACAAATAATACCACTTTAATAACCATGCATTTTGATGAAATATTTCTATACTTCTTGAAAACATAATGCCAATACACATTTTTTTTTATCTCAATGTTTTTTTGTTTCAGATTTCTGTAATGTATATAGGTATTCCTTATGTCGATATATTTTTGCAAAATTAGGGAAAAAATTGGATACTGCAGTGGTCTTACAATGAACATTTTAGGTAAATTCCAATTAAAAACATCAATATTTGATACTTACTCTACAAAATAAACTTAAGTTCATCATTTTAACAAGAAAAAATAGTGGGGAAATTATCGAATAAATAACTATTAAAGTAAAATTTGATATGATAATGTGGTATACTAGTAGATGCATGCCTAATCTATACATTTCCCTCCTAGAAGCCACCCTGTCTGTCTGCTTACTATATGTTAACGATAGGATCAACCAAGGTCATCAAAATCTACTCATGTGTACGTTATTAAGTAGATCGTATGACGAAATCATCAATTTTTATCAAATTTCTGAAATTCTGGATGTTTAAACGCCACAAGCCGAAGATAACAAGCAATTGAGTGTATGTCATTTCAGTAATACGATTTATCTAGCTAAGTGAAAATCTCTGTTCTCCCAAGAAATATATCTTTTTAAAAAGATGTAACTCTACATTGGAATTTAATTTAATTTAAATACGATAAAATTCCAGTTTAAAAAATGTTTATATTAAGAACTCAAGAACTACATGTAGATATAAAAGTTTTGAGGTCAAATCTAGAAGGGGGGATTTTTCTTAATATTGTATTAAGTTTCAATTATATTGCATTCTGCTTTTATTTTTTACTGTTCAAAAGGTAATGAAATTAATCATCGTGTGAATGTCAAGCCTTGTTAAACATTTTAAAGTCGTTACCTCTGTATATTTCTTAAAATAAAAAGACTCCAATGAAAGTACGGGATAATCTGTGAACCACTTCTTTATCAACTTCAAATGAACATGTATTCTTGTAATTTAAATTTCATTATGCTTTAGTCAGTTTAAGTATCTTATCGGTAACAAGTCTTGTAGAGTAAGCTTTCCCCTCTAACATCCCCCCCCCCGGAAAACTGACTCTAGAGTAGGATTTCCCACGGAAAATAGGCTCTAGAGAAAGATATCCCCCACGGAAAAATGACTAGAAATCCCACATCAGATTCAATTTTCTGGGAGGAAGTCCAGCTCTGTGTAATAGTTATAGAGTGTAATTTCCCCCAGAGCAAAATTTCCCCAATAAAATATTTTGGCTGTACTTATTGAATGAGGAAGGGGGGGGGGGGCTGGAGGCAACATATTGTTACAAGTGTCCCTTCAAAATGGCGTTCAGTTCCATTGAAGCATACGAAGTATGAAAATTGAAGATTTTTGAATCTCATTTTTATCAGTAAACGTCAAACAAATTCACTCTCAGCATTAAAATCTTATTCTTTTCATTTGGTCAAACTGGTTTCTGAAAAAGAAATATTGGTACAATGTAATCGGTTTGATAAACTTTTAACTGTATCCATGGAAACAAAAAGGAATTTTATTTTAAATGTATTTTTCTCTCCAATTGTATTTCAAACTACATGTACATAATATTGATGTTTAAGAGTCTCTCCAAGATTCTACCTGGTGTTTAAATATCCAAAATAGCAGCCGTTGCCATGGAACTTTAATGGGTCATTTATTTCTAAAAAAAAATTCAAAAACTTTAAGAGAATTGCTCTCTGCTTTCAAACACAATATTACACCACTGGCGTCGAGGGGACATATGCTTCGGCATGCAAAAGCAGTGTTCCATGTATTGTTTTTGTTTTTTGGTTATGGTGTATTTTTTTCCTTTTGAAGAACGACTTCATTCAGATACTCAAAAATGGCATGTGGAACCTATCAATAACATGAATTTTAGAATTTTCTCACGTACTCTTTGTAAAAAGGATCGATCCATAGATGAAATACGAGGCCTTTAGAGGCAAACAAATTATCAAATCACTAAATGTGGCCTGATATTTTTTAAATTTGAGAACGAACAGGTAGGCATAAGCCGAGAGAGGGTGTTGAGACATCGAGTGTTACGATTTTTTGAGCGACAAATTAAACAGTTTCCTATGAGTTAAAATTTTTGGTTGAGACTCGATGATTTGAGCTACATATTTTAAGATTTCATACTAAATTCGACAATTCTTGAGTCGAAAACTCATATTTCCATTAAATAATTAACTGACTTTCATATAAACCTCTAGTCAAAATATTGTCGATCTGATTTAATGAAATATATGGAGATAACGAACAGTATTCAAGCTCAAAAGTCCATTATACAAAACAAAATAGGAGCAGAGCAAACACGGACCTCCAAACATCAGAGGTGGGATCAGGTGCCATGGAGGAGTGAGCATCCCCTGCCGACCGGTCACACCCGCCGTGTGCTCCTTGTCATGATCGGGAAATAACGGAAAAATCCGTCGACAATTTAGTGTGTAAATAATGGCCTAACAATTAGTATGAAAAACGTCAGTCAGCATTTGACTCAATGATAAATTGTATTTGCTGACAAGGTCATTGTATCGACCAAAGAACTTACGAAATGATGACTTTAAACGCGACAGCTGATATTCTTGTTTCATCAACTTATTTGTCAATAATTTACCTCGTTTTAGAAATTGTACATACGTAGAGCATGCTCTTGCGTATCGAATCAACTGAGAGATATATACCCCGTAAGCAGGTGATGAAGGTATATTGCTGCATAAGTAAGGGAAGCTGACGATTGAAAAGTTAAAGTCATCACGTTTATCATAAAGCTTGGTTGTTAGATTACCATTAACGTCTTTTTCAAGCATTGATAAAAGAGGGGAAATCCTACTCTGAGAAAGAAAGAGGGAGAAATCTACTCTACATTCCGGGGAGAAAGCTGGCTATGGGGGAAATCATACTCTACAACGGTAGGTAATGAATACCTAACATAGGGCATCAATATGTCCTTCAGTTTTTCTACGATTTGGTCGCCCGTTAGAGCGTCTGGTCTACAGTCACGGAGTAAGGAGTTGATCCTTACATCGCGGGTTCGAATCCCACTGTGGGACGTGGAGACCGGTCCTTCGGATGAGACCGTATAAACCGAGGTCCCGTGTCGCAGTAGGTGCTGGCACGAAAAAGATCCCTCACTGCTCAATGGCCGTAAGTGCCGAGTATTAGACAAAATTTGCAGGTCTCCACCGGCAAGTGGTGGCGTCTCCATATGAGTGAAAAATTCTCGAGAGGGACGTTAAACAACATACAAACAAACACACAAAATTCTACGATTTCAGAAAATTGTGTGAACAAACAGCACCCTCATTTGTTTTAATCTTTTAAGGTGTTAGAGGAACATTTTATGTATAAAAATACACGTGACTATATGAAAGGACACTAATTTGTTTGATGCATTTTACGCATTCCAGTTTAGAATGTATACTTGATTAATTTCTCGGATAAAGTTGTCTGAGGTTCATAATCTATATTCTTTTTTCAATTTTTTTTTTGGGGGGGGGGGTCCTAAATTATTTTCCTATCCAGATTTGGATATTATAAATAAATGTATATTCAATAAAAGCATAGATAATATGTTGATAAGAATTTCTAAAATGGCATTTTACACATCTTATCTTCATGAAAATATTAAAGCATTTCTTTGGTACTTTTCTATATAAGTTTAGCGCATTAGTTATTCTTTATGGAATACTTGTTTTATATTTTTATAAGGCAGAATGTATTCATGAGAGGAGACCTTCACGTCGACATTTCAATTTATCAACGACGCTTTATCAATTAACACTAGTTATTTTTATTTATGTGTCGACTTGATATTCATGATCTAAGTGAACTTGAAATAAAAGACACCACATCTGTCTGCCGCATCTGTTTTATATTTGGATGTTTTACTGACTAAAGACGATAAGGGCCAACTAACAACTAAACTGTATAACAATCGAGATGACTTCAGCTTTTCCATCGTCAACGTTCTTTATTTATATAGAAATACTCCGCTATCACCTGCATATGGTGCTTATGTCTCCCAACTTATTCGGTACTCAAGAGCAAGCTTGGAGCACGATCAATTTTTTAAACCGAAACAGACTACTGACAAATGAGTGGATGTTACAGGTATTTCCCCAACCTCGTTTAAAGTCGGCATTTCGTAAATTATATAGTCGTTATAATGACCTTGTTAACATATGTAATTATATATACAACCTATCATTGGTCGTATTTGACTGACATATTTCATACCAATTTGTTTTCTTACTGAATTGTCGGGGATCCGTGTTTTATGCCCTGTTCACAAATTTGTATTTGCTGGGGGTTTTTTAAGATCGATCACTGTTCTTCATTTCTCTTTTTTCTTCACTGACAAATAAGTTGATGTTACAGATCTTTTCAAAGTCAATATTTTGCTAATTCTATGATCGTTATACTGATCTTGTTTGCGAGTACAGTTTATTTTTGGATCGGATTTTGACAGACGCGTTTCCTACCAAATATTGGGCATTGTTTTTATCCCAGTCTTACTATGAATTCCTCTCTTCACTTGATCAATACAGAGAGATCAAGGCGAGTTTGCTCGGTCGACATGGGCTGCTCACTCCTCCCAGGCACCTGATCCCACCTCTGTTGTCTCGAGGGATCCGTTTTTGCCCTGTACACGATTGTTTACTGGATTTATGAGATTGATCATTTTTCATTGCATCGCATTGTTCCTTAAAACGAAAAGTCTATGCACTGTGTTCAAATTTTAATTAAAGTGAACTTTAAAGTTACGAATGCATTATTTACAGAAAGGCGGTGATATTAGACCTGCTTGGAGAGTTTTTTTTTTTTTGAATCATGCAACTCACATATTTATCAAAAATTAAATGCATTAGACGATATTTAATGTTTTGTAATATGGAATGTATTTCACGAGTGTGGCAGGATTTTTGTGTGTGTGTTTCAAGAGTGCAAAGCACGAATGAAAATATAAAAAAAAAGTCTTGTCTCACAAGTGAAATAAATTCAAGTTTCAGCTACAAAATATTGAATTTTTTTTATCATATTTTCTTTGATTTTCACATTGCCACTGTCATTTCGTAATACAGAGTCATAGGTTGTGTCGTCATAGTAACTATAGCGTTTGAGACGTCATAGCTTAGCGATTGTAAGATTGAAAACACTAAGTCTTTTAATATGGTTTCCAACATCAGATCTGGAGAAACTTTGGTAGTTTTAGTCTCTGTCAGGATTGTCCTTTCCTTCTTTATCATACATGTATAACAGGTCAGGGAGTACATTGTATTTTTACAACACTCATTTGAAGGTAAGAAAATCCAGTTTTGCCTCACTTCTGATATTCTTTCACAATGTGACAAATTCACTTTGATAATCTTTCACACTGTGACAAAATATCACTTTTATTCAATAAATAAATTACAGTATTCACTGTTGAAAACGTAATAAATTTACATATTTAATTTATTATATTACAATGAATATAACATATACACAATCAAAAATTTAAATTAACTTTTATATTACTTCTGTATTTGGAACTCTGTTCCAGGATACTGATTTATGTAAAAACAAAAAAGATGAATGTTCAACACTATGGATGTTTTGATCTGATTTAAGCAACATAAAAGAAATGTGTCAAAAGGATTGGCCCGCCATAGTATCTTACATTATGTTTTACTCTGCGTGTCAGTTTCATTCTAGAGATGAAATTTTAATCGAGGTTTTGATCATTTTCATTTAGTATACAATATTTTTGATATTAAGAATTCTGTTAAATAATCTCTTTAAAAAAAAACACGGGATTAAAGATTCCCCCATTGAAATTTTCATAGAATGTCGCCCGAGAAAATTTAGAGTTTTATCTTTAATAGTATAAATTGCATGAGAAAATTTCCAGTAAGATCAAAAAACAGAATTCCGACTAGGCAACGGCGTAATGCAAATGATAAAATTATCTTGAGACACCGCAGTGCAGCTTAACTTTGTAAGTAAATCTTTATGAATGTTATGACCGGGTTCGTCTATAAACAAATTTTACATTGCTTCTCTTCGACTTTCTGATTGTTTTTCAGATGCCCTGTAGGTTGTAAAATATCCGTTTTATCAAATGCCTTCGTTATGTACTCCTATCACTATTCTTTCCTTTGGGATTTCTGCTCGAGTTTCATAATATTCGACGATAGCACAGTAGGTAAATAGAAAATATGGTTCATGTAGGGAGAAAAGTCTGCCAAAACAATAACGTATGTTGAAAATCTTAATCTATTTTATCATAAATAAGCGTGAATTTTACGGGAACCAAATTGCATATACTCCGTCCGTGAGTGTATTATAGAGGAATATTTACAATATTAACAAGAATGTTGGCATTTTGTTACACATCCCAAGCAACTGTTCCAGGATATAAAAAAGTCACAAATTATAAACCCCTGCGTAGTGATATTTTTTAGTTGCTAGAGAATCTTAGCAGAATCTCAAAATACTCTTCTCAAGTCAGAGTTTCCGTCCAAATACTAGACATTGAAGGGGTACATCTTATTTTTCCTGGGGAAAATATCGAAGATTCCCCCGATTGCTTATAAAGGACAGTAGTTCTTCGTAACCTGTTTCTGCTTACCTGTATAAAAAAAAAACATTTATAAGACAAAAAGTATAAATATATAATTTATTATCAGAGTACGATATGTTTCTGGTATACATATTTACAATGACGTTTAATCACGTGTTGATCACATGATGGACCGTGGGAGACAGGAACTTGGATAGTGCTGATAGAAATTTTAATTATATATATATATATATATATATATATATATATATATATATATATATATATATATATATATATGCAATCACATAATGACTGAACTGTACAATGTAAAGTCTGCTAACAGTTACTTAGGAAACACAACAAAAACACACATATATACAAATAAAAAACAATCATTCGCACTTTTAATCTTTATGTATATGCTAGTAACAGAGGAAAAAATAACACTTATATTTCATTCTGAAGTCATCGTAGCCCTGTCTTCACTCTTTACAGGATAATAAAAGTAGAACTAAAAGGAGTAAAACTAATGAACAATTAATCGCGCAAGGTGAACACACCTCAGGAGATTGTATAATGTATTTTACCTCAAAAATTGCACTTCCAAGATTTATTTTAATAAAGAATACATATTTCTTTGCTAGTGGATTAAAAACAGAATTAAATCAAATAAGACCAAATTTTCTGAGAAAATACAGTAGATTGGATTCTGAACAGATGACATATTTAATCTCTCTTTCTCTCTCTCTCTCTCTCTCATTCTCTATAATATCACAATATGAGGCAGATTCTTCAGTCATTTATTTTCTAAGTACGCGCCCTTATCTATACTCTCGTTTTTGAATAATTAGTCTAAATATCATAAACATACACTCCATGTATGGAATATAAAATACGATATACTGGTGAGCACTAGAATTACTGCAGGATGTTGTCCACTTGAAGAACTCCGGGCTGATGTACCTAATGATGGCAGTAAGGAGTTCCAGAATTCCATCCTCCGGGGTTTATAAGTGTCCTCAGCACTGATGACCAGTGAGTCATTACTCAAATGAAGTCTGTTGTAAGATCTCGATGGTGAGTACTTTTGGAAGGGTTTGGAACCAACAAAAAATACCCTGAAAACAATTGAAATGAACAGAAAATGAATAATAGTCTATTATATAGTTTTATTATCGTTTTACGTAATTTAGAATTTATTGAATATTTATCGACGACGAAGATTGAGGTTAATGTACTTTTTTTTCATTTGGAAAATACATTTTGATGATATCTTCATCCAAATTGATTTAGGTTTTGCTTGCAGACGAGATTAATGGCATTTAATTGTCTTTTTTAATCAAACTTTCAGGACTGACACTTTCCATTTTTAGTTCTTATATGCTGCAAGTTAAGCTTGTTAACAATGATGACGGACGCGGTTCGCCTGAAGGATTTATGCTTTTTTTTCAATCTAAAATAAATATTGCACGCTTGCTTCGATTACATACAATTGATTATTAACAGCTTGTGTCACTATTATGAAATCATTACAATAATACTGCTGGATACTGAGATAAAGTGTAAATTTTTTTTACTATAAATGTGTGTGTGAGTGAGGGTGGGTGTGTATGTGTGTTTAGAGAGAAAGAGAGAGAGAGAGGACCAAGACAATGCATGTGTATGAAGAGACTAACGTTTACAGAAATAATTATTTGTATGAATAGAATGTAACTATAAAACATGATTCATGTGACACAAAACGCAGCAAGTTTCACGAACTAGAACACCTTTTATCACATGTTTACTCCTTTATATAGCTGATATCGGTCATATGATATTGTTTCATATCTCACATTAGTGATGTCACAATGATTTTTGCGTAAAGTGAGGAAGTCAAATAAGGTGAATCCATTGATAAAAACAATGTAAAATATTTGATAGGTATGTGTAAAACGTAATAAAAAGAATCTTCCATGGCTTCTGGTTGGATATGATTTTTATCTAACTCGTTGCGTGTCTCGCAAAGGTCCGGGGACAGAAAACACAACAAGTCGTTGAATATGTAAAACATGTCAAAGAATCTGTCAATGAATACTTTGCATTAACATGATTTAAATATTTAGATTTATACTCAGATTTAAAAAAAATACCAGGTATGTAAACCTATTTTTTCTCAAGTTAAATATGTGATACTGAATTAACCAGTTGTAACTTTTAAATAAAACATATATTCAAACAGTTAAAATGGAAAACTTTGGACTGATAAACTCCAAATACAGTGTCCATACAAAAAAGAACGCACGTACCCAGTTTTAACATAGTTCGTCCACATTATCATTGTCATAGTACTAGCTTCCTTATCTCTATCGTCGAAAGTAAACTCGGGGTGTCCAACATGAGGTAAACCAAAAACATAAAACAGATCAGCACCATGTGGGATTCCTATAGAAAACTGTATTGTTTATGTCAAGAAAACATTTTATGTATTTTCACATAACAGATGGTTATGTACATTCTTTATAGTTATCGTGTTTATTATGACGAACATAAAAATCTCTGTACGATTTACATGAAAATAAAAAGAATAATTATACCTTCCCAGTCGCTTAATTTGTTTTTTGCTGACCTATAGTCAAAACTGAAAAATGTGATGTCATTGACCCCCGCTGATGTCAGCAGGTCAGCTAACTTGACCATTGGAGCCACAAATACAATGTCACTTTCCATCTTACAAAATAGAAATATATATATATGAAGTGATTCTGTTCAATCATATATTTAGCAATACTGAATTGTGAATCTCGGTTAATTATTACACATTTTTGCTATTTAGCATAACTTTACAATTTTATATTTATATATACTTCAAAGTGAATCTCGATAAATTATCATGTATTTTGCTATTTAGCATACCTTTACAACAGCATATTATATTCACCTGTGTGTATCGTTGTAGAATGTTGACCTCCTCGTTGCGATTTGTAAAATTCTCCCAACCACCATATTCATGCATAATAAGATCTAAAAGGAAAGATATTTACACTATTTCCCAAGGTCTTTTCCATTTCCCAAATATTCCAAAATTAACTTTAGATGAGCGTCAGATTACAAATTCGTAAGTTAATACTTTCATTACCATCTACTAACCTTAAGATCTTGTAAAACAGATTTTTCCTTTCAGTGATATTGATCTTACTTGGAAATGGCTTTAGTAAGGGTTTAATACACGGACTTTTAAGCAAAATCTGCTTTAAAAATGATTTGTTCAAAAATTGTGTACTCAAGTTGTCGTCTAATCGAATTTGTACACACAAATAGACAAAGTGATTCCTATATTCAATGTACAAAGGATTAAAATTTTAACACGCTTACTGTTTGTCGTAGGGTTTTATACATTTTCATTATATAAGACAAAAGGGAATTCATTTCATAAATAAATTAAATGGATCTATTATTTGTGTTAATCAAACAGTTTCTCTGTAACAAATATATTACTTAGATATTAGGGAGAGTTATAGTTTTCAGACTTTGGCCTTTATAAAGCATTATAATTTATTTGTTACCATTTCATGGTACATGTTTTCGAGATATATTCAAAACCTTTGATAACCGTAAAGGTAAAGAAAATTCCTATTTTCTACTACCTTAAGTGAAACTGAGTAGATGTTTACAGATTTGAATATTCCACACAGATTATGTATAGCCACATTTACTGAAGAGGGGTTTATACGTTTCCACCTACACGTATCTCTGAGTTTGGAGAAGTTAAGACATAGGCCTATATCACCCAGTAGAGTGATCTATTTTTTTTTCTTGATGTCATTTGGATAGATTATACTTACCGTCGAGATTAGAGACTTTGGGGTAGATAGGTTTGTACCAATCCAGAACCTGGCGAAATGTTTCCTGGTCAAATTTGCCTGTTTTACTCTTCATATTATCGTGTACATACCTGACTGAAATAGCATTGAAATATTTTTTTTTTCATTACTGGTAATATGTGGTAGTTTTTAAAAATTAAACCATATAAAAAACCCTGCAGTCTTGCACGTTTTCTAAGTTTTGAGTTGACACATTATAACCAAAAGTTGGTATGAAGAGTATCCCCAGCTTGATTATGACTAGAATTCTACATAAAATTCCAAATTATCCGATCAGAAGAATGAAGTCAGACAACTGTGGGCAAATTTAGCCAACATTTGCAAGCTTTGTGGAAAGATGTGCTCACAAATTTGAGGATCAATTCTGATATAAACTAGTTATGAATTGATCTGTTACTGTATATATGACAATCATAAACCAAAATTCGGTAAAATATCTGCAGGCATAGCCAAAAGTATGTGTTGTTTTACGGAAGAAAAGAACAAGGGAATAACGGATATGGGTGAAAACATTGAGATCGTGACAAAGAATATTTTACCATCTACAGATCCTTCATCCCGTGTAATGGAGAAGACAAATGATTCACAGTTCATCTTTTTAGCTTGTATGGCCGTTTCCGGTCGTTCTGTGATAAATTCTCCATCAACAATGGACACCGGAAACGTCAAAACCTGTTGATACTTAACGATAAAAAAGAAGCATTAAATAATTGATATTTTTACTAAAAGGAAGCTTGAGTTTCTCAACATATTATCAACTAATCCCACCCACGATCAGGACTACTTGGTCTCGGTCAACATGAATTTCTCAATTCAGATAAACGTTTTTTTTCCCCGATTTTTTAAAAAAATAAATGATGTAAATATAAAGGTTTTAAAAGTATGCGTTTCTTTTCTGTATAATTTCGCACATAAATTTACACACATCGTAGATATTGCGTTTATGATAAAATATTGAAGTTAACGAACAGTGATTGCTCTCAAAAAACCTACAAACAATATTCATCTGTGAACAGGGCATAAAACACGGACACCTGGAAATTCCAGTGGTGGGATAAGGTCTTTAGGAGGGAACCTGTCGACCGGTCACGCGTGCCGTGAGCCCTATATATTGATTAGATAGACGAAATAATCCGTAGTCAAATGGAGTAAAACAAAGGCCTTACAAATGTATGAAACACGTCAGTCAAAACACGACTCAATGATAATATTTGTTTACAGTGTCATTATAACGACAGAGAATTAACGAAATGCTGACGTTAAACGAGGTTGTTGAAACTCCTGCAACTTCAACTTATCTGTCAGTAGCACGCCTCGGTTTAAAAAATAAATCGTACTCCGAGCATGCTCTTAAGTATCGAATAAGTTGGGAGATATAAACATCGTATACGAGTAAGAGTGGAATATTACTGCCTCAAGAAGCTGAAGTCATCTCGTTTGTTATACAATTTAGTTGTTAGTTGGCCCTTATCGTCTATACTTAGTAAAACATCCAAATATGAAACAAATGTGGCAGATGGTTTTGTATCTTTTATTTCGAATTCACTGGGAATTCACTTGAGTTCACATATGAATGGAAGTAACTATTGTTTATTGATTAAACGTCGTCGATATATTTGAATTTCGAATTGATTGACTGATTGTATGTAACTCATATACGGTACCAATTTTGATGCACCAGATACACATTTCGACAAAGTATGTCTCTTCAGTGATGCTCATGTTGTTTTACGTTCCGTTCGAGAATTATTCACTCATAAAGAGACGTCACCGTATGCCGGTGAAGGGCTTCAAATTTAGACCTTTACTCGGCACTCAAGGCCATAAAGAAGTGAAGTAACTTTATCGTGCCATCGCTTGCCTTGACACGGGGCCTTGATTTTTAACGTCTCATCCGAAGGACCAGGAATTTCGAAGTGAAGGCCACAGCAAGTGATTTCTTCTTCTCAAGTAGAAGTTTTTGAATAAATTATGCTTCATAGGAATATATAAAAACAAGGTTGGCTAATAATGGAGCACTATTAGTACTATCGAAATTCCACAGATTGTTGTTAGAAGACTCCAAAGACTACATCAAAGACTTCATAGATGTTGTCAATGAGGAATTCTGGTTCCTTTTAATATCAACCCCAGAGTAGAATCAGAATGATTTGTAATTTGTAGATGACCAATCACAAGATTGGAAAATCTCCGATCTGTAATGAAGTAATTAATTGACGTACTAAAGTATGGGAGGGGTATTGTATTTCTATGCATGGATGGAAGATGTTCATACGTATATATGTTTTCGGTATGTTTGTAGGTAGATATGGTTTTGGTATGTGTGTAGGTAGAAATATAAATGATGTCCAATGGTATGACAGTTGTTTTGAGCTTGTATATGTGTATGGATGTAACTTCATCATGTGTTGATATTGGAGTAGTTTTGAGTTTGTGTGTATGGATATAACATGGCTCACGTCTGTGGGTATGGGCGAGGTATTGTGGTTGGTGAACTTTTGCCATGACAGTTGCATTAGATATTCCCGAAATTCTTTAGGGTCTCGGTTTCTGGGACAGAGATCTCTGTTGCAGTACTCAGCTATGTTGTATCCCGGCTTCCAGTGGGGTGCCGCCAATCCCCAAAAGGCAATCGGGGAACCGCTCATAATCATGGCGCGACGGAATAAACCTATGAATAACAGAACAAAGGGTCCAAACTGAGGCATTAATTGACATTATCATAAAAACATATCATTCTTTAATCTACCATCAGTTATAAAAAAAGATGAATACTGATTAATAAAGAAGATAGTACATTTTCTGTTAATCTGGCTTACGGATCTAGACTAAGATGGATAAATAAAGAGAAACCTATAAAAGAATCACAAAATATTCTAACCCTGTGAATTTGGTATTGCATTTGAAAATAAATAATGCAGAAAGTAGAATGCTGTTTTGGAGTATAAATTCACATAAAATATTTGAAGGCGCATAAGGGTGAATTAAAAATAATGACCACCAAATTGAATTTTTTTGGGAAAAAAAAATCAACTAACCATAACATATTTTTCACTTACGTATATCATCAAACATGCATTCTAGTTAAAATTCCTGAAGTTGCAATATAATAGACAATTGGATAAAAATGTTTCAGAATTTTTATTTGTAAATCTTTATTTGAAAAAAGAAAATATCACTACGTCCTAAAAGATTTTCTAAAATACATAATCAAAAGAAATTATAGTTTTTTATGCTTCAAAATGGTATCATGGATATAAATGATTAGATCTAAACCTTGATTGAGTTTCTTCTCTTGTATATGTAGAGAAAAATTGGCTTTTTGATTGTTATTTTACATTATTTTTTCAATTCTGGTTTGAAAAGTTTCAATATGATAGAAACATGAAACAATAAAATTCTCCCCAAAATCACTTTTTTGTCCATTTAAGTCAATTCTTCAAATCTAAGCCAAAAAGAATTTTGATAAACAAGTTTTCTTACAAAAATACTAGATTTTGAAGTGCCCCTATTTTACATTATTGTGTTGCACTCCTGACATCTAAAATGTATTTTATTTAACGTTGTTTTAAAAATTATAACACACAATAACTCATTCTTAGTTTGTAAATCAGTTCATCGTTTTGATATTTTTTATCATTTACAGTAAGTTCTTCATATTTTCAAGACTTCAAAACATGATTATTTGCAATGTGTAATATGTGTACATTGTATGTAAAATTATGTGCAAAGTGATGAAAACTATTCTCTGAATTGACTGTAAAATGTCTGTAAATAGTTGATAGATATAATGTTTTGAACATCAGATAGAACCAAACATTTTTTAAAATTTATTTTTTAGTAAAGCTAGATGAAGATCATTCATAATTATTAAACAGTTTTGTAGCACTCCTGACTGCAGTAAAATTAAAAATTAAAACCATTGAACACAAAAATTCATAAAGTGTTGGCAATATCAAGTGGGAAGAAAATTGTGCAATATTTATAGTCCAATACTTAATAATTAAAACACATGAAAGTATTTAAACTTGTGTTTATATCTTGAATTATTCCCTATTTATGTCAAAAAACTAGCTTAGATATAAATTAGAAGATAAGATATATTTTATAGTATGTTTTCCTTCACAGGACAAACACTGTAAGCAACTGAGATCAACCAGAAACATTCTACTCATCAATTTTTTTCTTTATATTTATTCCTTTTTTTGATCAGCAATAATTCTTACACATTTGTTGCACTCCTGACCAAGAGCACGGGAGTCTTTCAAGTAGAATTGTGAAGCGAAAATTACATTAGAACTTGTTCTGTTGTTTCAGTGAAGTTGAAGTGGAATTACTTGAATTTTATGACAATGTTTTAGTGTGTTTATTTTTTACATTCATAAAAAAATCAAACAAAATATAAAAACACATCTGAATTGATAAAATTGAAAAAAGATTGATTTTAATATTACAACTGTCAGTAATTTAGTACTAAATTATTCAAATAGATCATTATTAATTAAAGAATATTTCTTAGCATGAATAGAAGTCTTTTCGTCATATAGCTTGAATCTTTAAAAAAAATGTGTTGCACTCCTGACCATACAAATATAGATCTGAAACACAGACAGACCCTGTAATTGATAAATCTATTTGGTAAATATGATCTTTGTGTCTTTATTTTCCAAAACAAAAATCAGAAAACCATACACTGATAAAAGGTTTTTTATGCTGGGGAGCAAAACACCAAATGTTGCACTCCTGACATTATTGGGTATGACAGATACTTGACTTTCATTAATGCTGCTTGTGTTTTATTTAACATTCTAAAGTTTTAAATTGTATATCAGGTATTGTTTTACACTTTGACAATTTTTTTGACTTAACTGACTTTCACATTTTTAAAATTGATGTTTTTTGGCAACACTACATTTTTTTCTCTTGCACTCCTGACATGGTATAACATTTTTTTTAACATCTTTCATGGCCAAAACTTGGTCATACAAAAGTTGCTACAGTCAACATTTAAAACTCAATACTTTGAATATTATCAAGGAAGTCTTTATTTCCTACATAAACCATTTTTATTTATTTCACAGATCTTCAAAACATATTGAATTTTCAAAATAAGGTGTTGCACTCCTAACATTTTTAGCATCATTTCTGGGCACAACTTTTTTGTGAATCGAGATATCAATGAGATATTTGACAGGTATTTAGATAGAAATTTATTGCCGTATTTTTAGTTTAGGTTGATAAATATGTGTTTGATCATTGTTTGGAATTCACTCATAAATTACCTCTCGCATGGTTCTCATAAAACATTACCTTTGCTCAAAGGGGAGATCACATGAAATCCTACATCAGCCGCGCCTGCGCTGTGTCCAGCAATGGTGACCATTTCCGGGTCTCCACCAAATTTAGCTATATTGTCTTTCACCCAGTGCAGCGCCATTACCTGATCAAAGAATCCGTAATTTCCCGTTAAGCCCTCTTTCCTAGCTGCATAAAACCCTAAAATATTAAATTGCATGTTATCAGATAGCAGGTGAGATGAGAGCAATGAACGATATACATCGACATTACATAATCTTACATTATTTTAAGAATCAACAGGATAAAAGACACCAAAATTGACCTTCACAAAGTTATCTTGCATTAGGAAATTGAGGGTAACTACCTAGAGAACCAAGACGGTAATTAAAATTGACAACGATGATGTCTCCAAACGCCGCCAGGATATCTCCTCGTAGCATTGCCCCCATTCCTACTCTGTTAGAACCGCCGTGCACATAGAGAAATACGGGGATGTTCTGAGAGACTCGCTGTAAATAAAGTGTAGGTTGAAATTAAATCGTAACGACATTCGATCTGTTATAAGAGCTACGTCGTCAAGAGTAGAGACTGGATCAAATTCCGTCTAGAAATTCATCAGAGTTCTAATCAACCTTCCTTATCAAAGAAAATTTAATTGATACTATGAATAAAATTCAGAATTTACCAATTCACAATGTTGAGTTTTAGATGGACTGATAGATTGAGAACTCCATGTTGTATACTTCCATTTTGCAAATGAAGATTTCATTTATTTGACTCTTGTATAAATGAAGATTATGTCATATTTAGCTATAGTTATTTTTATACTAAACCATTGTTTCAATTTCTCCTTATTTAAGGAATGAATTTAATAGCTACCCATTTTATACGGTATAAACTGGGTTGGGGCAGTTTACGCTTTATAAACCCCGAAGCGGTTTATAAAAAAAGCGTAAACTGTTCCAACCCAGTTTATACCGTATAAATTGGGTAGCTATTAAATTCATTCCTTATAATTTAATTTTCATTCCTTTCGCGTAAGAAAAAAAAGATGATTGTCCTTAAAAAATTTCTTCAATTTGCACAAAAGTTAAATGTAACGTCAGGCGGATCGATACGTTTTTGACGCAAGTTATTGTAACGTAGGCAACCCATTTTATACAATATAAAGTAATTTTTTATCAAATAAAGTGCATATCATGTACATAGGAAAAATATATTTAACTTCTGTGCTTTGCTTTTTTTCCTTGATTTATTATTTATGCATGAATACGATATATAGTAGTCTTTCAACACTGAATGTAACTCCATGCAAGGATCAACAGGATTGTGTAATACACCTAAGTGATATCTGAAAATACATTATATATTTGTTTTACCCTTTCTCCTGAATCAAACATCGTAACGGCCTCCACATCCATGATAGACACTTTCATAACCTGTAGCCTTTAGAATAGTTATTGCAAGGACAATTCAAGAACATGATTTTAGTGCACACATGTATTCCTTTCATTAGCATCGGAAACTTCATAGAAAAGAGTTGAACTTTGAATTAAATTAAAAATATGTGTGTAAAAAGAAGTTTCTAATGAAAATTCTTATTAACACATACGTTGGTATATCATGCATTGTACCAGCATGATAATAACAAACACGAGATGACGTCATAAGACAGACAGTAACATCTGCACGTAAGCTTTTGTCTCTAAATGTACTCACTCTCACTTCGTACCCAACCTCGTGTTAGATTAAAGGCCATCATATAGACAAGTGCATCAGGAACCCGGAAATTTTCATACCTTGTATTTAGTCATCTAAAAAAATTATTGAATATACACACAGGTAATCTGAAGTTATTATTATATTAAACATATTGACAATATCTATGTATCTGTGGAAAAACCTGTCGTTAAATCAATTTCTATTAATTATGCTCCTTTTTTATCAAACCTGTTTTATATTTTTATGAAGCAAGAGATCGGGGGATTTTTTAAGGGGGGGGGGTACATATTTACTTAAAAAGAAAAGAATCCATCTCAGAGTTTTTTAAATTAAAAAATAAATAGATAAGATAACCCCCCCCCCAAAAAAAAATTACGTGCTAAATGCGGAGGGAGGGTGTCTCCTCTCATAGACAATCCACTTTCTTACTTACTCAGTATTTCCTTACCAAGTTTTGAGGGGCTTTGTGATTTTGGGGGTTTGGTTGGTTTTGGTCACTTTACCGTATAAATTTATTTTAAAAAACTGCTACATGAGAAGAAACTCTTGACGTGGCCTTCCATTCAAGATTTAGATATTTCGACGACGTTTCGCCAATTATCAATAGTAATTTTCATTAGTCGACCCGATTTATTCCAGTGAACTCGAAATAAAAGATACCACGATACCACAGAGTCTACCACATATGTTTTTGTTCGAATTTTTTTTCTGACTATGGACGTAATGGCCAACTAAATTAAACAGTATGACAAATGGGATGACTGCAGCTTTTCGATCGTCACTTCTCCTATTTATGTACAAATATTCCATATCACTTGCGTGTGGTGTTCACTTCTCCCAGCTGATTCCGTAAGCAAGAACATGTTCTGAGTAATATCAATTTTCAAACCAAGGCAGGCTAAAACGAATATGTTGATGTTACAGTGCTTTCTACACACTAGTTAAAAATCAGCATTTCGGGAATTGTGTGGTCGTTATAATAACCTTCTTTGAAATACAACTTACCGTTTAGTCGAATTTTAATTGACTGACGAGTTTCATACCAACTGTTAGGCCATTATGTTAATGCTAATTTGATAACAGATTACTCCGTTTACACGATGAATACAAAGGGCTCACGGCATGTGTGCTTACGTCTAAACACTTGATCCCACCTCTGATGTTTCCAGAGATCAGTGTTTTTTGCCATGATTACGGTTTGTATTGTTTACGGGATTTATGAAATTGATCACTGTTTGTTATCGTTATTTATTTCTTTATTATTCTATAATGCAAAGTAAATATACCTGTATCAATTTGAGCACATACATGTAATACTCCACTGGAATGTGGGTCATGGACCTCTTTTGTTGATATTTTATATATTAAACTTATTACCAGTCTAAAATTAAATAATTTTATGAAGCATAAATCTTGCTTAAAAATGATTTTTAGAGAGAAGGTTTAAATGTTTAATAAAGGGCATTTTAAGTTTCCGGCCCCGAACTGGCCCCAAGTGCGAGTATAATTAAAATTCAAAAACCTTTTTGCACATTACATTATTTATCATATTCCAAAATAATATTTTGCTACTGCATAAAATGGAAAAGGAGTTCTGTTGTTGAAAACCCTTACTCTCTGGCCTTAATTTGGCCTCCATTTAATGAAAATCAAAATTCCAAAACCTAATGCACATCTACAGGATACCATCAACTTCTCCAAGAATTGGTTACTGTGTAAAATGTATTAGGGGTACTGGGTACCAGGTTTTTTGTATAAAAATTTTTCGACCCGCAATTAATTCCCCGAACTTCAAAACCTTTTAGCACCTTTACAGGATACTAGTATCACTAATTATAATTTATAAGATGAATTGGCTACTGCTTAAAATTTAAAGTAGGAAGACACATGTAGTGTGATTGATGGACGTACGAATAGATCGGGATAAAATACATCCGAACTTTCTTTAGAAAATGCAGATATAATTAAATGAATATGAATTATGAAAACCCTCAAATGATCACTCTTCCGAGACGATAAATGACCACTCTTTAGTGTTGCCTAATACTTCAGATTCTATCTATATTCAAATTTATTACATTTTCAACAGTGAAATACTGTGATTTATTTATTGAATAAAAGTGATATTCTCTCACAGTATGAAAGGGTACCAAAGTAATATTCTCTCACAGTGTGAAAGGATATTAAAGTAAGTAAAAAATAATTTCTGGCCTGTCATAAGATAGAGATACTAACTTAACCATCTTGATAGAGACTAAAACTGCCAATTTATCCAACTACAAAACATTGAATATCTTCTATTTATTTTAAAAAGAATACTCTTCCAATGCTAACGCTTTGTTCTGATCCTAAAAGTAATCCAGTTGTCGATGTCATTGTACTGCATTTTAAATGACATAATTTTCCATTTTTCCATTAAGTACAAGGATTTAAATTCTGAACTATCAGAACCAACATATTATTGAGTATATGAAGAAAACAATATTTGTAAGACTAATGTTTGACGCTTTCGAAATAATGTATTTGCACGACTTTAAATCCTAATAATATAAATTCATCTCATGTTTACCCCATCATCAAGTGGATATTGGTCATTTGATATTGCACTGCAGCACCTTGTGATATAATACTAACAAATGTGTGAACATAATTGTGAACAATTATTCACGATAGTGTAATTTATAAAATTTTGAAACTACAAAACTTTCTTTTAAAAAGCACTTTAAAAAAATGCAATATGCACTACTTTAGAGGTTGTGCTGCAGCGTGAGACAGCCGACAGGAAAGCAAAAGAAAAAAAGAAATCCCAAAACAAAAGGTATAAATATAATAAAAAGAATCTCCCATAGTTTGTCATTGAATATGATTGTTATTGTATTTCCGTTGAATAAAAAATCACATCCAATCCAAAACCAATGTTGATCATATATTTATATAATCTTGAAAATGATTTCCAGGATTTTATATGGCAAAATATTCTAGGAGCTATATTATATTACAACGTTACACACCTAAAAAGAACCAGACTGGACAGAAATGCATGGAATGGCATATTACACCATTATTACCTCAGGGACGTAAACGTTGATGTAAAGACAGTCTTCATCCTCCCTGTTAAACCCCGGGCTGTGCAGATTCACATACGACATGTCTGGTGTCTGGGGACATGCCGGAGGAAGCTCACCAGCAAACTTCACTTCACCCCAGGGGTCAGGCCGCTGCGTCCTCTGAAAATAAGCGAAAGAATTCATGGGTGTTTTGTACGTTACATCTCCAGAATGTTTACGTTTCGAGGCCGCTATATATCGAATGATTATGTGGTTATTATATTGTTTAGAACATTATTCTGAACATCTTTTGTTCAATATTGCTTATCAAAATATTTCTCCTCTTCGAGATAGAAAGTGTCAAAGATTTAGCATTCTGGCCCCTTATGGCCCCTTATTACATAACATATGATCAAAATTTTATAATGTATAGTTGCAGAATGTTAAGATTTGCGCTTGTACCTTAATAATTAATTAGGTGAAAAGGTGTTATTACATTATGTACTAATTACAAGACAGTATTAGCTTTGTTGTAATACACACAACCAATAAGTGACTGGAAGATATGTACCACCAAGATGCCAGAATGCTAATTGTATAAACAGTACTAGTTGGGTATTGTTTACATAAAACACGTGTTCATTCAATCGACGTTTGTATAAAAGAGTTGTAGCTCCGTAATTCAGAAGGTATATTTGGCTTAATGAAAGGATCGTGGCTGGTTATCGCGATATGAAGATGACTGATGAGGCAGACGATGTCATGTAAAGGCGATACATGTTTAAAGTCAAACAGAATCAGGCTTTGATAAACCCACCCCCAGTTTTAACCAAAACACGCGATTCTTGAAAAAAATGTTTTGCAATATTATCTTATCATGGTACAAAAAGATTTCACTCTTATCATGACACAGAAAGATTTCCCCCGCATCCAAAATCTGGGTCGCAGAACTTGAGATTTTTTTGTTTGGTTTTATCATTTTATATCTCTACGACTAGTCGAAAAATCCAATTCATTCATCTTAAGCTCTTTTTTCATTCTTCGGCTACTTTTCAAAGCAATAACTTTATCTTAAGGACGATAAGTTGTGAACATGATGAAGTTATACAGTATAGATTAATGAGGGCATCTAGCGATAAGCTATCAAACAACACAAAAAATGCTGAGAAAAACAGTATTTCATTGACACGAACTAGCATGTTGTTATACCTCTGTCGAAATATCCTTGGAGCTTGCTGATTGATGCATGTTAGACGATTGTTTCAAGTGGGTAAAATATTGACAAAACAAAGGTCTCATTCATATATAACATTTTATAAATAATTAACTACTAATAATTCGTGAAATAAAGGCTATAAGACATGAAAGAATATAATCTTATAACTGAAGTTTAAAATTGTAATTAACATAGTTGTGTATATAGTAGCATATGTCTTATACAATAAGCCAGCCGTCTAAAATATATACCATGATCCTTCAATGGCTTATTAAAACAAATTGAAGGAATCATCTTTTTGATATTCTTATGATGTAAAAGATCTCCCCCCCCCCCCTCTCTCTCTCTCTCAATCGACCGACAGTTAAAGAAATTGTCTTACCTCAAATCTGAGACGTTTAATTGGAGGTTTTGCATAGGGAATTCCCAGATAATTGGCGACTTTCCTCTTTGGTAAAGGTTCTGTCATTATCCCCTGAACCTGTCCATATTCTGTCTGCCTGATTGGGGATTTCTCGGGCACCTTCAAGGGACACACGACCCCTACAAAAAGCACCCAGTACAAACAGTCTTGGATGATACCCGCCATTACCAACTATCCAGATTGTAGTTCGTCGGATAGATGGCTAGTAATCCAATTGCAACAGAATGACTTCAAGGAAGCACCAGATGTCGAATCACTGTCGCTAATAGTAGCAGAGTGCACACCGGTGGCGTATATTGTTAAGTGGTATGCGCATTGCCTCTATTTACCCCGACAGAAGGCACCGATGCTGACGCTGCTTCTAGATCTACTCGCTTATAGTACAATAAAAAGGTCATTATGACGAAAGCCAACAAGCAGTAAAGGGCTATTTGTTTTGAAATAATCTGGTAATGTCTTGGTTACTGAAGGAAGATGTATATCACTTGTTAGGACCGAATGCCTCTTCGTATATGGGTGCTGACTATGAAAAAACATTATCTTTTTCCAGAATTTTATTTAATTTGAAAAATCAATGCAAATAATATCTGTGGAATAAAGTGAATGAAACTAGCATCTCATTCTGTACTTTTCCCGCCATATCCGATGTCAAAGCAAACAGACGACATATCATATGTTTAAAAGTGGGAAATGAACGACATACCTATGTGTATCCTATTTGATATACTGGTCAGTCCCTCGAACACATGAATAAGTGATATTTGTATCTCAACATATTCAATATCAGAAATGAAATGACCAAACTTTTCACTATATTTCTGACATCTCTATGATATTCTAATTAAAGAGAATTTATGAAATTGATGCATCTCTGTAAGACTGAAGAAGACATAGATAGAAACTATTATCATATATAACGTAGAGAAAACAATGCAACATTTTAGTTTTGGGTACTATTGATACCTGTGTGATAAGTTGTGCAGAGAAAGACGTGTAGCATCAGTTTTAGGTAGTATTAACATCTTTATGATAGTGTTTTGTAGACAATGAGAGGCAGAACCTTAGCAGTAGATCAATAATACTGAAATCAGTATGATATATCATTTTGAGAAAGACATGCAGCATCTTCGTTTAAGGTAGTATTGACATCTGTAAAACTAAACAGGTCCCGGGATCATGATTCAGACTAAGTCAAAATGTCAAATATCCGAAAGATATTAAATAATACTGAACCAACACCTTAAACTTACAGAAAACAACAGTTTGGTGATGTAGTGAATATAAATTTAAGATTTTGAAAAAAATTTGTAAAAATGATTCTGAGTCAGAGAATCTGAGTCCTAGATAATCATGATACTTATATAAGTAAACACTTACTGTACAGTTGGTGTATTAATATCATCGGTTCTTCTGGAGCATACATGTATGTGATATGCTGTGCAGGAGCTGACAGTATTTTCAGTCCTAGGTCATTCTGATGCCTGTACACTGTACTACGAAGGAAATGACAATCTCCCATTTCTAAATGGTAATCCTGATATCTTTTTGATCTGTAGGAACTCTCAGTGTCGTTTAGTATCCTGATGCTTGTATGATAGGTTATATATGTGTAGAAATGGACGGTGCCTCAGTCCTATAAGATAATCCTAATACCTATATGTTATGCTATGCAAGAATAGGTGGTGTTTCAGTCCTAGAAAACCTTAATATACTATCTGTAAGCTATGCTAAGTAGGAACGAAATATACTGTATAGGAAACTGGTAAAATCCAGTCCTATATGTAATCATAATACGAATGAAAAAAGGTTAAGATAACAAACAATGATCGATCTAAAAAAAATCTACAAACAATACAAATCAGTGAACAGGGCATAAATCACAGACCCTTGAAATTCCAGAGATGGGATCAGGTGTCTGGGAGGAGTAAGCATCCTTTGTTGACCAGCCACACCCGTTGTGAGCCCTATGTATTGATCAAGTAGGCGGAATAATCCGTAGTCAAATTAAGTATTAAAATAAGGCCTAACAATCGGTATGAAACCCGTCAGTCAAAATACGACCCAATAATAGGTTATATTTTCTTACAAGGTCATTGATAACAATCATAGAATTACAAAATGCTGACTTTAAACTAGGTTGTTGAGATCCCTGTATCATCAACTTATCTCTCAGTAGCCCGCATCGGTTTAAAAATTGATCGACTCAGAACATGCTCGAGTATCGAACAAGTATTGAATAAGACGGGAGACGTAAACACCATCTGCAGATGATAGCGGAATATTACTGTATAAATAAGGAAAGTTGACGGTGGAAAAACTGAAGTCGTCTCGTTTGTCATACAGATTAGTTGTTAGTTGGCCCTTACCGTCTGTAGTCAGTAAAACATCCAAATATGAAGCAGATGTGACAGACTCTGTAGTGTCTTTTATTTCAAGTTCACTGGGATATATCGAATCGACATATGAATGGAATAAGATAGGGAGATTGATTTATTGTATATTGTTTGACGTTCGAGAATTTTTCACTCATATAGAGACGTCATCGTATACCGTAAAAAGAAGATGTTGAAAAGACTTTGACTGAATTAAGATGAACATTAAGATGGTAGTTGATTTGTGATTTCTGTGTATTTTGTTTCGAAATAATAAAAATTATGATCGCTTTTAACCATACAAAAAGAAATATTACGTTGTATTTTACTAGAGTCTCAAATTGTTAAAATTTTCAATTTTCCGAAATTTTATAAGAAGCATTCAATTTAATCTGAAAATTCATGTAAATTCACCGCTTTATCAGAATGATTTTTTCTGTACATTGGAAAGGGTGGAGATAAAGGAACAGTAGATCTCCACAAAGCAGTGGTTCCCGCTTGGAAATAGCTGGATTCACGGAGCACGAATTGAAATATTTTTGATAAAGCAAAGAAATCTAGTTACTTCAAATCGACAAATGAGTGTATTTATGTGTATCTCCCACATGGGAGGGACAGGGGATCGGATATAATTTGAACAAACTTGAATCTATACTAAATGAGGATGCTTCTATATTTATTTATATTTTATTTAAACTAATCAGGCTTTGTAAGATTTTTACAGATTTTCATCTATAACTTCCTATGTAAAGCTTGATCTTCTATTGTGTCCCCGCCCTTCCCAGGATTCATGATTTGACGAAGCTTGAATTGTCACTTCCTGGGGATGCATCCATATAATTATGATTAATCAAGGCTTTGCTGTTCTTGAGGAGGAGATTTCTAAAGATGTTCCTATATATTCCAATGAAAAACTTTGATCGCCTATTTTGGCCCCACCCTTTCCCCGGGGGCCATGTTTTGAACAAGCTTGAATCTACACTACCTGAGGATGCTTCCATATAAATATGACTAATCATGGCTTTACTGTTCTTGAGATTTTAATCGCATATTGTGGCCCTGCCCTAGCCCCAAGTGTCATTTATGAAAAAAAAATGAATCTCCATTTTGTAATGAAGCTTTCACATAAGTTTCATTTTTTCTGGCCCAGAGGTTCTCGAGTCGAAATTGTATAAAAAAAAATTAGAGACAACAGACGACACATTACAGAAAACAGACGGCAGACGAACTCCGGACACCCTTCGATCAGGTGAGCTAAAAAGGATGTTCGACAAAAAATGTTTCTATACTGTTTCCATATGCGATGAAAATAATATTTCAGTGATTCGTTTGATATATTTGATTGAATGTCATTAAGTTTGGTTTTCATAGTTACCTAGTGATAATTTTGAAGAAAATGAAGGAAACTTCAACATTTGTTGGCATCTTGTATTTTTTGTATTATTTAGAGAACGAGACAGGTACTGTATCGTAGATACAAATTTAGGGGTGGACGAGTGCGTAGCACGAGTCTCCACCCCCAAATTTGTATCTACGATACAGAACCTGTCGAGTTCTCTAAATGATTTGTGAAACGATCAATAAAAAAAAAGCACCGCCCACTTCGTAGCATCCAAACTTCCGCCAGAGTTCGTTTGTTCTCTGTAGATGAGGCCTCGACGGGGAGTATACATCCGCAGTATATATATTTCCACGGACAAGGTAAGATTAAGTCAGATTAGTTTTGACAACGGGGTAGACGTAACATACTTGAAGTCAGTCTTAATTGATAAGGTGGACGATTTAACCTTGTTGTAGGTGGAGATTGATCCTAATTTATTTTAGGGGTCTTAAAATCTCAGTTAAACTAGATACACATACAGGCGATACAGACAGTTTTTCGATGGACTTTGATGTTACGGATTTTTATTTTCTTATTAAAATGCGACATAAAAAACGAAGTGAAAGAGATGTGCGGCAGTCGTCAGCGATAAGGATTTAAGATGAAATTAAAAAACCCCTGAAAAATGGACTTGATTGAGTTTGCACGAGAAGAGTGGAGAATGGGGTAGGGGGAGTGCGAATTTCTCCTAATGTATGCTGCATCTGCGAACCCATTGGCTTTACTATTTTGAAGGGGACACAAAAAGCAGGGAAAGCAAAAGGGTTTTCAGAAATTTATCCAACATAGGATGTTTTCCATAATTGCGAATTTTCCTTTTCGTTTGGATCGAAACGAAATAACGTGTAGATTCTGTGTGGAATAATTTTTAAAAGTGATTGAGAAATTTTGACATTTTACATGCTTAAGGAAATGTTTCTTCAAAAGGTATAATAGGGAAAAAAAACAGCATTTACTATTAGTACGTGTTTTTGATAAATTGAATCAGATTTGTTTTTAGACCGTGCTGTATTTTAGATACAGTACAGTAGACTAATACAAGACAGTATACAGGGCTAATACAGAACGGAAAGTAGCTCCGCCCACTGTTGTCTCGTTCTGTATTGCTAATACAGAACAGCAAACTTCAAAGAAAAACACGGCATTCGTGTCACAACATTCATTTACCTTATTACTTATAACTACACTGTATGTGACATTAAGTATTTCTTACGTAACCGATTATAAGTTAGAATTAAAATATGGGGAAATTCCTTAAAAAAGTTATATATCCGAGAAAACAATTGTTACCATACCTACAATAATAGACTTTTTCACTATTTTTCACTGTTATTTCCTTAGCAATACTATAAAACATAATTATAATGAATATATACGTATGTACCATTTTTCAATTTTTATTATATTTTATGAGGCATCAGTGTATATTCTTTACTAAATAGTTGACATTTCATAAGTCTTAAATTACATTTTCTATCAATTGTACGTACTCTGTAAAATAATGTTCAAAATACTGTTTAAAAATCAAATAAAATCCACTTTGT